GAACAGTGGAATCAAAGAGATGTGCCCAGAGCCGGAGGGAGGTTCTTCGTCCTGTTAGCTATTTCTTCGACGTTCTTGAAGGCATTCCAAGCCGCTCTCTTCCTCCTGCGCAGCTCGGGTGTCAGGTCATTTGTCATGTTGACTTCTCGACCTAGGTACACATAGCTGTTGCATTCGGAGATGGTCGTTGCGTTGAAAGCGAATGGGGCATCAGGAACGAGGCTGTTTCTCATAAACATTGTCTTCGTAAGATTCAGCTGTAGTCCTACCTTTCCACACTCACGGTCAAAGTCGGCCAGCATTTGTGCCGCTTGGCTGATGTTTGGTGTTATTAAAACAATGTCATCAGCAAAGCGGAGGTGGTGTAACTGCCGACCATCTATCTTCACTCCCATTCCTTCCCATTCCAGTCGTCGCATGATGTTCTCGAGGGTAGCACTGAAGAGTTTCGGTGAAATGGTATCACCCTGCCGAACCCCTCTCCTGACATCAACGATCACTTCTTTGTAGAATGGTGAGATCCTGGTAGTGAATCCGCAATACAGCTCACAGAGGATCTTGATGTATTGGGCTTGAATGCCCTGATTGGCTAGGGCTTCAATGACCGCTTCCATCTCAACAGAATCCAAGGCCTTCTTTAAATCAATGAACGTTAAACAGAGCGGCATCTTGAACTCCCAAGAAACCTCAATGAGCTTGGTTATCGTGTGGATATGGTCGATGGTGCTGAATCCTTTGCGGAACCCGGCTTGCTCACATGGTTGTCCTTCATCTAGTGTTCTGCCAATCCTATTTAGGATGACTCGAGTGAACAACTTGTAGATGACAGACAATAGGCAGATTGGGCGATAGTTGCCAATGTCATGGATGTCTCCCTTCTTGAACAGTAGTACAGTCCTGCTGGTTTTCCAATGGGACGGAACCTTGCATTCAGACAGGTAGCATGTGAAGAGCCGAGCCAGTGTATTGATGAGTACTGACGGCAGGTTCTTCAGGTGTTCAGGTCTGACCTTGTCTGGGCCGGGTGCTGTTTGTTTCTTTACCGACGAAATGGTGTGTCGGATTTCAGAAGGGAGAACGTTGGGAACGACATATCCATCCTGTGGAATTTGGTATGTCGGCAAGTGGACATGGCTATCGAAGAGATTTGAGTAGAAGTCATGGATAATCTTCTCCATTGCCATTCTGGAGGATGTGATGGATCCACCAGGACGTCGGAGGGCAGTCATCTTGGTCTTATAGTTGGCGAAGGACAGGCAAGCGTAACGAATACTTTTCCCAGCTTCTGCCGTATCTACCAGTACTTCTGCTCTTCTCTCTTTGAGGTCTTCCTTGATCGCATCTCTGCACTGCTTTGCGAGCTCGGACGTTAGCTTGTGGTTGCCTGAGGCATGCGCCAAACCACGCTGGCGAATTAGCTCAAGAGTTTTCGAAGACAGGCGTTTTTTGTGGCTATCTCTCTCTTGGCGTTCCTCGCACATTCATGGAGGTGCTGAACCAGTCGATCGTATTCCTCGTCAATGTTGTCAACAATGGCATCTTCCCATGTTGCCACAATAGTGCCAAAGAGTTCCCAGTCAGTGGTCGTTCTGGGAGTTCTCTTTTTGAACTTTGCAGCCCTTTCTCCCTGCTCTGTGAAGTAGAATTTTGCAGGAAGGAAACGGTGGTCCGATCCCGTTCGAAATTTTGGGACAACAGCAACATCGGTTAGGCAAAACCGTCGATTGAATATGATGTGGTCTATTTCGTTGTGGAATCGTCCACCGGGAGACTCCCATGTCCAACGTTTAGATTCTGCCTTCTGGAACTGTGAGTTACCATGGATGGTCTTGGTCGACATGATGAACTCAGACAGTCTCTCACCCTGTTCGTTCCATTCTAGGCCATGGGTCCCGATGTGAAGTTCTTCAGCTGATCTTCTCGGTCCTATCTTGGCATTAAAATCACCCACAATGATCTTGTAGAAGGTGTGGTCTTCTTTATAGAACTTCTCCTGCTCCATGTAGAACTTCTCGATTTCTCTTTCATCATAATGAGATGTTGGTGCGTAGACAACGAAGATAGAAACTGCAGGCAGTGAGCCACATCTATTCAAATGTAAACGTCCAATTCGGGATGTTAGGCATTCGAATAAATCAATGCTCTTGGCCACGTTTGTGTTGACAAGGACACCGACGCCTCCGACACCTCTTTTATCACATGTTCCGAGGAACAATTCTTCTCCAGTGTCGAAAACGGCATGGTGAGATTCGTGCCTTCTTGTCTCGGTCAGACCAATGATGTCGTACTTGATCATTTGTGCTTGTACCATCAGGTCCTCGATGGATGCATCTGATGCTAGCATACGTGCATTGAAAGTACAGACGATCATTTTTTTTCTCATTATGATCATTTTTTTCCATATCAACAACTGTCAGCCTCACTTTTAAAAAATGTGTACCTGGTGTTTCAGTGCTTTGCATATCCATTTCAACAGCTCCAGAGTAGCTGTAAAAATATTTTGCCACATGGTAGGGGTAAAAATGCCCTTATTTCAGGCTCCTAAAACATACCTTGATTATTCTTTAGCTACAAAATTTTATCTTCAGCTACTCAAGCTCCATGAAAAGGTCAATATATTCATTAAACTATAGGTCACTTTGAGGAGAACTGGTATTTCTCTCTCTCATTTTCAATGTACCTAGCTTCTCGTTTACATCTTTGTTCATGAATGTGGATTCTCCCAGCTCTTCTCATATCTTATTAACTCCACAAGTTCTTGGTATTAATATTGCATTTGTCTAAAAAGTGGAATGATCTTATTACCTATTCTCAGGATGTCTGTATGCAATTGTAATAATCAGCATCTTGTTAGTAGCACAAGCTTCTAAAACTGTCTAGATGTCTAGGTTTCTTTGAGGGGTGAGAAGTCTTTATTATTAATTTAATTTCTCTGCTGGTGAATAATATTGCTCCTAATGCTTATTTCTTGTTTGATCAGTTCAGCTTGCATTTTTGGGAAGAATTTAACTATTTCATTTATTGTTCAAATTTACTGGCAAATTTGTTCATGAGCAAATAAAATAGAAACTAAACCATTTAATTTCTACAGGTTTTTAAAAATGCCTTCTCTATTATCTCTTGAATTTGAATGATTTCAGACAACCAACTTTAGCTTTGTTCATCTGTTTTCTGTTTCAACATCCATGGTTTCATTTCAGTTGATGGGAAGGGTGTCTACTTTGAAACTCACAAGAGTACCTTTGGACTGTACCTCCACATGATGTGAAAGGCAAGGAGGGAATTTTCTGTGGCCTCTTTGGATGGCCACTAACCATCCAGAAGGGCTAGTGACCTCATGATCTAATCATCCTTCCAAAGCCTCAAGACATACAAAAGTGGGGCTTAATTTCAACCATGGCGCCACTATTGACCAATTAGATGAGAAACTATCTGCTGGAGCACTGTTAGGTGTTTCAATAAGTCTTCCATTTGTGCACTGAAGCTGAGAACTGCTGCCCCAAACACTTCATTCCCCAAGGATGTCACAAAATGAAGGCATTGCTGAGTGAAGGAATTAATTGTACAAACATGAACTAAGCTAAACTGCCTTTCTTCCACGTAGACACACATACAAAAATAAATTAAGCTGACGCTTGTATCAAGCAAAAACATGAAGCTATAATTTTGGAAATGTCAAGAGACCAAACAGTGGTGGCTTAATGTATGAGAAAAAGCTTTCGGCTACTCTGGAACTGTCCCCCCTCAAAAAAGAGAAGGATGGTGTCTCTTGATGTAAGTAATGAAATAATCTAAGTGGCAATAAATACCATAAAGACAAAAATAAGACAATGAACAATCCCAATACCTACACAACCAGGGGTGTGGTTAAAAGGTACTTCAATGAAAGGGAATTAAGCAGACTCATGAACTTCACCCACCAAAACTTTCACCACTATCTGGGCTGCAAAGCTGACAGAGCAGTTCGTGGTCACTGCTAGGGAATGAGTCCAGATGAGTCCAATGTCACAGAGGGAAAGACAATCACAACCAAAAAAACACTTTATCATCTTTTTTATTTAACATAGTACATGTAAACAATTGGCATAAAATTCATAAAAATACAATGCTCCTATGCAGTATAACTTTATTCCTGACGCATCCTCCCACTTTTTCCTCTATATTTTTAGAGGCATTTCCTTGAAGAGCAATACTGTCCCAACTTTGTTATTCAGATTTTGTAACAATAATTATTTTTATCACCTTTTTGCCCACTTTCTTCACATTAAAGCAAAAATATTTCAAAAGCTAAAAATATGTAAAAGACTGAGCTTTAATACTGCTTTGTCATGGATACAGAACCTACTACTACTCTATGTTGCCATAAAAGATATTTATAATCTACAGCACCGGCTGCTCCCAGATAGGACCAAGACTGCAAGTGCGAGAGCCCTGGTTCTAACTTGGCTGAAACACAGCTTGCTGGTGGGGTTACATTAATACATACTGTTACAAAAGGTTTCTTCTGGAACCAAAAGCAAATCCAACGACTCTTGAGAGCTTCCAAGTATACCTAGCGGGATTTTTAATGTTTTCACCAGATAGAACTCCCAATCATCACGTGTGAATTTGTTAGGAAAGAAGTTACTGGAAGGTGACAGAACGCAGAGTAACTTTAAAAGTAGGACTTGGAAAAGGAAGCAACTGTGACTATAACTGAACCAGCCGTCCATGGGGGAGGAGCAGCTGTGGACTCAGAGGCAGCCCCCACCGCCCTGGGCTCTGGCTGCCTCTGCCCATGCACCTGGCCTCGGTGCTCCACCAGTTGTCCAGTCCTCAGAAACTGGCAGAAGCCCAACAACAAAGTCACCCAGCAACTGAGAAAGGGGGCAGTGGGGGTAGTGGGGGTGCGGGGCAGGGCTGAGGTTACCAGCAGAGCCTCCGGGAAGCAGCGCCCCGAGACACAGCTGGCGGCTGGGGCTGTGCACTCAGGCAGGGCGACGCTGGCTTTGCAGCTTCTGCTCCAGGCCCGCGAGTGCTCCCCAGACCACTGTCCTGCCCTTGGGCGCTGGCACGGGCAGGAGAATACAGCTGCTCTTCAGCGGCTCCCAGGAGCGGCACCGGAAAGCATCCCTGAGGTGTTGGTCTCAAGGACAATCCACAATGAGGGGCTCTGCCTGTGGCCGAGAGAGAGACTGTCATTAAATGGGGAGTCCACCAGCGTGGTTGGCTTAGAATTTAAAATCTGAAATCGTTTCTCACAGCTCCAAGGAGTTACTGATTTGAAGAATCTCATTTCACACAAATTACTTCTAAGAAACAAAAATTCATACTAGGAATTCAAAGCAGGCTTGGAAAGTTTTCAAAATAAGCAGGAAGAAGAAGATAAAGAGGAAGACTGAATGAGTTCAGTCTTCCTATATTTATTCAGTCTTCACACAGAAAGGATGATTTCTGAAACCAGAATTATAGCATAAAGCTTTTGTCTTATTAAAGATATAAAAATTAAAAGTTAAATATAATGACTCAATTATTATTTATTTACTTTTTTGACAGAAAATTATCTGTTTTATTTTTATCTTAAGAGAAAGTACCACATACTACAGTCTACTGTTTCATTGAAAATGATCTCTATTCAACTACACATTAGTTTCTAGATGTACTATATTTAAGGTTGTTCAAGATAGTCTTTATTAAAACCACAACTGAACATAAAAAATTCGTAGTTGTATTAGAAGTATTAAAATATAAACATGAATAATATTAAAAATGAGAAAAATATACAATTGCCATTACTGTCACTGTCACTGTCCTCCCATTGTTCATCGATTTGCTGGAGTGGGCCCAGTAATGTCTCCATTGGAGACTTTGTTGTTACTGTGTTTGGCATATCGAATACATCACAGGTAGCTTGCCAGGCTCTGCCGTGCGGGTGAAATACTCTCGGTAGCTTGCCGGGCTCTACAAAAGGGGTGGAGGAATCGAACTCAGGTCGGCCATGTTGGCTGCACACAAGGCAAACGCCCTACCGCTGGGCTATTGCTCCAGCCCAATTGCCATTACTATTTTTAAAATAAGTATAAATACTTCATAAGCAAATAAATGAGTGAGCCAACACTTATTTGACAAAGTATCTTGGGAGCGGAGGGAAAGAATGAAAGCAAGAAACAGTAATGTCACAAGGTTGATACAGGATTTGGTCCTAACCACCAGGCCCAAGAGTCTGGATTAATAATGCTCAAGAGATACTTTGCCAAAAGAGAATAAAAGAGGGGCCAGAGTGATAGCACAGTGGGTAGGCCACTTGCCTTGCACGCGGCTGACCTGGTTTCTATCCCCAGCATCCCATATGCTCCCTGAGGATAACCCCTGAGCTTCTCTAGGTGTGACCCAAAAAGAAAAAAAAAGGAGAGAGAGAAAACAAAAGAAAAAAAGTAAGTGTAATAAATGGAAGCTCCACATCAAAATGATGTCCGCCCACGTGTACTTGCTGCAGCCGGCAAGGGGCAAACAGGATGGCAGAACCAACAGGGTCAGGGCACTTCTGGCACAAGAAAAGGCAGCAATGACAGCAGGAGGCATGAGCAGTCCCACCAGACTTGGGGCTGACTGTTCTCCTACTAGTCTTGTCAGCAAACCAACCCAGGTTTTTCATATATGTAGTTTTGCTCACATTCACACAAATACTTAATGCAAGCATATCCTCATTTGCATAGCAAATTTTAAGGGATGCACTGAAATAGTAATTGAAATAGAAGTATTTTTACAATGAATGTGACATTCATATTGACCAAAACATCATCTATTTGGGAAAATGTTCCCATGAAAGTTGTGGTGACTCAAATGAAAAACACTGTTGGCCAGACCTGAGGAGCAGACGCAATGTCCACAGGCGGTCACTCTTTTATCACTTCTAAGACTTTGTAAACACTGTTCTGAAACACGGTGGTGAAGTGCGGCTTGGATTCCTTCACCAGGAGGTTACACAGGGGCGGCTTCCCAGCGTTAGCGGGGTCTTCCACATCCCAGATTTCAGGCATGCTGCAACCAGGCCTAGAAAAATGAAGGCACAGATTGAATATCCCTGGTATGTAATATGTGTCACCAAGAGTCAGCTATGACATATATGCCATGTTAAATAATGATGAAGTGGAGCACCCTTGTTGTATTTTTCACCCTAGATTCTGGTCCCTCCCCACCCCAGTTTTTTATAAAATCCTATCACATTTATTTCCTTGTAACCTGTCATGATTCCTCTTCACAACAACTGAATCCCATAAAGGTGATTATAAAGAAAGAAACAGACCAACAAAACACACAATTTCAGGTGGTGAGGTTAGAGAGTTTGGGTAAATTCTTCCTCCACTATTTATCAAGAATAACTGACAGCTCACTCAGATCTTCTCTCACACTAGTGAAGTGGAAACGCCATGACAGTGAAGGACTGTGAGACAGATTTTGTATACAGCACTGGGCCTAGCGCAGGGGGAGGGCATTATTCGGAATTTTAAACCATAATTGATAAACATGCTGAGTTTACACTAACCAGCTTTACATCAACTGAATGAGTCTATTTAAAGAAAACCTGGTGTTAAGCTCACATTATATATGTGTAAATTTAAAAGCAATGTATTTTTATAAAGAATGGTGTAAGTGATAGCAGTGTTAGTAGTACTTGCCCCAATACAGTCTTCAAGCTAACTATAGCATTTATATCAAAACAAGAATGGTTTTATGGTGCTGGAGTAACAGTACAGTGGGCAGGGCGCTTTTCTTGCATGCAGCTGACCCAGGTTTGATCTCCAAAACAAAACAGAACAAGAACTATTTCATAGATATCACTATTCACTCTGGCTAGGGTTACCATCTGATTATTTTGAAAGTGAAGAAAATAAAACCAGGAGAAAATTATAGACTGAAACTACTCCTCATTTTGGGAGTCTGGAGGCCACACCTGGCAGTACTCAGGGCTTCCTCCTGGCTCTGGACCCAGGGGTCACTCTGACCTGAGGTCACCAACCAGGCTAAGAGTGTCAATGCACAGGCCTGTCAAGTCCCCTCCCTGTCTAGCTCTCATAAGCACTCTGCAGCAATCCTGTGTACATCCTGCTCAACCTTATACCATGTTTAGACTCACCACACATGCAAACACAAGCTTGGGCCTATGTTTTCCCTACATAGATGTACCTGGGTTGATCGCCAATAAAGGAAATCATCTTGAAGTTTCTTACAAAAAAAAAAGTGGCAATTTTTCCATTCAGCATATAAAGGTCTATTTTATTTGTTTTGAGAGTGACTGTTGGCTCTGTGCTGTTATTCAGCCACATCTTCTGAGGTGGGTATTCCAACAGTGCTCCATTTTGCTGTTATGAAACAACGCCATTCCCTTTCAGCAAGCCGTGCTTCTCACAGCAGCACTTCTGCTCTATCAAAGAGCTACACAAATGTCAAGGGATCTCCCCGAAGAGAGCCCATGGAGTATCTGGCACACCGTGCTCACACGGTGCCACTCTACTGACATGTCAGAGCAGTTACTTTCCTCTCACATGGGACATTGGAGCAGAGAGTGGAATAAACTCAAACCAGAGACTGCTCAGCTTCACAGCGAAACTCCTTGTAGAAAGAGAGCCGAACATCCAATGAGCTCCATCTAAGAGTCCTTACCCTTTAGTCCTTACCTGAGCTTCTAGAAGTTTCCCCCAGCTAGTCAGCTATGGCCTTAAGGCGCATTAGTGAAAATCTAAAAGAATTCTCTGAATTCATGTATTCTAATTTTTGAATACATTGAAAGTAGAGAGAAAAAAGGAGAGGAGTGAGAATGAAAGAGTAACTAAACTCACTGCAATGAGCGTTTGAGTACATTTCACATTGTTTTTGAACACAGGTGCCAACCATTTCAAGTCACTTGTAAATGGGATCCCACGTAATGTTCATCAATGTGCCAAGCACTGGGATCGCATTAAAAAAATATATACTTATCATCCTTATCCTTTCTTCTGCTTAAGCCCCCCACCGCATCCTGTTCCTACATATTCAAGTCTGTTCCAGTTACCCACACAAGGCTCTAGCTGGCATAACTGAACTGGAGAGAGATCAAGGTGATGGAATGACACATCCCATATCCGGGGGATGCTCTGCCAAGAAACTTCGTTGTTCCTTCAGCAAATGGCAGCACTTTCCTGGCGTTGGCTCCCTATCAGGGTAGAAAGTGCAGCTTGTGTTTTGCTTCAAGATTTAAGCGGAAATACACCTGTCTAAGGTTTCCTGAAATTCAGTCAATCTAATGTTTAGACTTGGCAGTTGGCAGAGAGGCACTGAGATGGGAAAAGAGATGAGACATGGTCCCTTGCTGAGCTTCCTCTCTCTCCACTTCTGTGAAACAAACCCAAGGGCAGGTCGGATCCAGGTTGAGGAAACCCAGCACACAGCCACAGGCCAGCCCCCGCCATCATCCTGTCCATAATCCAAGGTGGAGGTGAGCTAAGGCAGCTCACTACAGCTGCATGTCCAGAGTTGAGCTTCTGCCACTGGGGTTGCGACCACATGGACTCATGTACTAAATATGGGAGTTGTGAAATATTTTTTAGAAAATGGGTTCTAAAAGTGAAGAATCCCGGTGGGCAGGCACCACAACACAGGAGAATTCTCCAGACCCCAAACCAAGCTGATATCACCAGGGTGCGCCAGATGAGCAGGAGCAGTCTCCCAGCCTTCTCCAGATGGAATCCTGGTGACCATGAGCTTCTACAAGCATGGCTCCATTATGTGGGGACCAGGACCATTCCTCCGAACTGCACGGTGGCATCCTGATATACAAAGTGAGCAACGAAAAATAGATGATCTAGTGTCTGCCCCTAGAAGGCAGGCTTGAATGGTGGTGGGAATATCCAAGCAAAATATAATGCCCAAAACTATAGAGAGAATATCTGAGCAATTGTCTGCTATAGAGTCAGGGTAAGGACTGAGATGGAAAGGGGATAATGAGGATATTGGTGATGGAAATTTTGCACTGGTGGAGGGATGGGTGATCGATCATTGTATAGCTGAATATCAAACATGAAAGCTTTGTAACTGTATCTCATGGTGGCCCAATCTTCTGGACTGTGAATTAAGATACAGCCCTGTGCCACCCCAGAGGGGAAAAGGCGTTGTCCCTTCTGCCTTCTTCCCCTCAGCGGCATGGTGACCACCATCTTTCAGAGCCTACTGAACTGAGAGGTACGAGCTTACAGTGATGAGACATGCAGGGCCTCATGGGATGGGGGCTGGAACCGGCCCTTCTCCCCGCCCCAACAAGACCCTGAGTTGCCACCCACGAATGGCTCCTCCAGCTCCTGAATGGCCATAGTCCCAGAGGCACACAAAACAATCTCGGAACACAGCAGCTTCTGGCAGAAATCCCTCTGGACTTAATCACTAAAATATCAGAAATCCAAAACTGTGCGGCCACTATTGAGGCCATGCAATATCATATCTCTTCATTATCAGCAATAAAAAAAAATTATCTATTGATGCTTTTTCAGCAGGTCTGAATGCTGGGGGAAAATTCCAAATAATAATGGTAGGTCTTCTGTCGAAAAATTAAATGTAATCAAAGCAGAGAGAGAGTAAAGTGGAAATCATCTGCCACACTGGCAGGGGGAGGGGTGGGATGAGGGGGTATATTGGGGTTCTTGGTGGTGGAAAATGTGCACTGGTGAAGGGATGGGTGTTTGATCATTGTACGACCGAGACTTAAACCTGAAAGCTTTGTAACTGTTTTCACGGTGATTCAATTAAGACAAAAAGATGGGTTTTACAGTGGGCTGAAGTGATAGTACAATTGGTAGGGTGTTTGCCTTCCATGTGGCTGACCTGAGTTACCCAGCATCCCATGTGGTTCCCCAATCCTGCCAGGAGGGATCCCTGAGAGCAGCACCAAGAGTAAGCCCTGAGCATGGCTGGGTGTGGCACCCAAAACAAACAAAAACAATTACCAAGAAAGAATTTCACAGTCAACAATAATGTAAGCAGAAGACTGAAATCACAGCAAACTTAAAAATTTATTGGGACGGGAGAGACAGCAGCACAGGGAAAGTGCTCAACTTGTACGCAGGCCAACCTGATCCCATCTCTGGCACATCACAGAGTCCCCCAAACACTGCCAGAAGAGACCCCTAAGTGCAGGGGCCAGAAGCAAATCCTGAGCACTGCTGCTGGGGATGGCCCCCAAGTCAAAAAATTAAAAAAAAAAAACAAACACAAAAACCATGCCTGTCCAAGTGGAAGCGAACGTGGGGACACTGGTGGAGGGAAGCTGACACTGGTGGTGGGATTGGTGTTGGAACAATGTATGCTTGAAATTCTATTATGAACAATTTTGTAAAACATGGTTCCTTAAACTGTCACGGTCCTCCCGTTGTTCATCAATTTGCTCGAGCAAGCCCAGTAACGTCTATATTGTGAGACTTGTTGTTACTGTGTTTGGCATTATGAGGAGCTTGCCAAGCTTTGCCGTGTGGGCGAAATATTCTCAGTAGCTTGCCAGGCTCTCTGAGAGGGGCAGAGGAATAGAACCTGGGTTGGCCAGGTCGGCCGCGTGCAAGGCAAATGCCCTACCACTGTGCTATCGCTCCAGCCTTGCTTCTTCATAAAAAAATAAATTAAGAATATATAATTTATGTTCAGTAATTGTTTTTCTTATATATCTATTTTATACACTAGGGTTGCTTCAAATTTTAGGGGGGGGCGCAAAAAAGGGTCATGAGTGAAAAGAATTTAAGAAGTTCCCACTTAGTGTGAAGGATCTACAGCTTTCCTCCAAGTTGTCTTTTCATCCCTTCTTGTGCACAAAGAACCAGTGTTCTTCCATTGAACAAGATACTCCTACAGCAGGCAAACCCAGGAAAGACACCAGCATTTCAGTCAACCAACATCCCACTTGCACAATTCTACCAGTCCCAACGCCGGGATCTAAGAACAAAAGGAGAAACCACTTTGCATAAAGGTTCCTTGTTAATTTGAGTGAAAAATATCACAAAACGTTGAGTTTCTGTTACATTATCCTACAGGTATCTCAGGGAGGCAAAACTGAAGGAAAGGCGAAAAGGGGATCCCAATACTGGCAGAAATCTCTGGCAGGCCAGGGGCCAGTGCAGAGGGATGGGCACAGGCTTGATCCCCCACCATTTGGCTCCCTGACACCACCGGGTTCACTCTGGAGCACTGCTAAGGAGCTCTCCCCCACCAACAAAAATCTCTGTGAAGAAAATGAATTCTTCCAAGTACAAGTGTCAGCTCATTCCTCATTACAATGTCCCCATAAGATTATTAGAAAAAATATTTACAGTTTTGGGGCTGGAGAGATAGCACAGTGGATAGGGTGCTTGCTTTGAATGCAGCCAACCATATGGAATGCTGGTCTGATCCCAGCATCCCATATGGTTCTTGAGCCCGCCAGGAGGAACTCCTCAGTGCTGAGCTGGAAGTAACCCCTGAGCAGAGCCAGGCATGACCTCAAAACAAAACAAAAAATGTTCACAGCTTTTTGATAAAATATAAAGTTAATTAAAGGAAAGTATAGAAACTTCATATATATTCTGAATGTTCATGAGGATTCTTATGCTTTAAAATTTTCTAAATTATGCCATAAGAATCATTTTTATTGATCCTAATTAAACTCAAGTCACCTGGCACATATTCCTAAAAAATCACCCAATAAATAATCAATCAGTTTGAGCTCTCTTATGTGCAAATCTGTGTAGATACTGCAAAGGCAAAACTATTCTCATCCGAGTCATCGAGTCAGTAAGTATCCTATTATTTTATCATAACATCTTGGTGTATTATTGAACTAGGTGGTACAGAACATGACTAAGTAATAAATACCACAATCCCCTCGAGAATTCTCTTGAAACACTGAGAATCTGAACAGTTGGTAGGTAGTTCCCACAGAGTCTCAACTTCCGATGAAGCCACTCTTGCCTGAGCTCTTGCTCACTCCATGGCTCACACGTGCTCACCAGCTCTCCTAGTGGGCTGTCATCTTGGTGAACTCTGTGGAGACCCTGTCCAATCTACAATCTACCCAGAGAATGTGAGTACCTCAATTCACTCTCCTACTTGATCAGGACTTGCACTGGCCAGAGAAGGATGCAGTGGGATGCAGTGCTGAAAGGGGCCCTGTCACTGGTGTGGCTGTAGCCAGGGGACCCTGACCACAGCATCAGTGGCCATGACATTTCTTCTTCATTGGAAAGCTTCGGGAGAAGACGCATTCAACTTTAAAGACGTTCTTAACTATACTGAAGGAAATAGAAACCATCTGGGATATTACTAATCAGGGTCGGTTTGATACCTTTAAGGTACATAATAAAACAGAGGCAGGTAGGGGGGATGAGGTGGGGGTGGTGGGAGGGGTACTAGGAACACTGGTGGTGGAAAATGTGCACTGGTGAAGGGATGGGTACTCGATAATTTTATGACTGAAATGCAATCACAAAAGTTTTTAAATCTGTAACTACACATCATGATGATTCATTAAAAGGTAAAGGTAAAGGCCCTCCCGTTGATCGTCGATTTGCTCGAGCGGGCCCAGTAACGTCTCCATTGGAGACTTTGTTGTTACTGTGTCTGGCATATCGAATACTCTCGGTAGCTTGCTGGGCTCTCCGAGAGGGGCGGAGGAATCGAACTCGGGTCGGCCATGTTGGCCGCTTGTAAGGCGAACGCCCTACCCGCTGTGCTATCGCGATGATTCATTAAAAAATAAAAAAAATTAAAAGAACATAACAACTTGTTATTTTTTTTAGGGCCACCAGCAATCACTGCTTAGGACTTACTCATGACTGTGCTCAAGAATCACTCCTGGTTTGTCAGGGGAGCATATGCGGTACTTGGTAATCAAACCTGGGTCAGCAAGGCGAGCATCCTACCTGGTGTACTAGCTCTCCAGTCCACCATTTTAAGAGAAACATATTTAAAATATTTAGAAAACAAAAAAACCTCAGTTCAAATCATTAAGTAATTTCCCCTCCCCTTTTGTCTAAGTGTTACTTACATCTCAGTGGGACAAGTAAAGAACTGTCATGAAATTGAATTAGCTTTCATATTTTAAGAATATAAAATTTTAACTGATGAATACTCACTTGGATCTTCTTATACACCAAGATTCCTCTAGAATGTAATAATTCACTTGTAACTTTACCAATTCTCGCTTAACTTCTTCAGCTGTTTTTCGACTATACATTGAATATACTATTTTTGTTCTGGCTCTTTAAAGAAGAAGAAAAGGATACAATTAAACTATTAGGAAGAAAGCAGTGAATGGTATGAGAAGAAACACACTGCAGAACATATTTAGGCTTTGGGGGTAAAAGCCAATGTGCTTTCAGGTACCTTCTATGTCGATGGATGGAGATAAAACACACATAGAAACACACCAAGCAATCCCAACGTTGAGACCGAACAAATTAGCATTAAATGGCTCTCCACTTTATTTCTAGACTTGAAAACAACAACAACCACCACCAAATCTCCCTCCCCCAAACCTTCCTAAACTATTAAACACAACTGCTATGGAAATTTGCTTGCTGTAATTGATTTTTTTTTAACCTAAAAGGATTTTTATGTCTAAAATGTATGTCCTATTGTTCCACAAAAGAATATATTAATCCATCCACATTCACTTAGGAAATGAGTGGCTGGACCAATTCCAGAAATTGCATCAAAATTAAATCTATTTACTTTCCCCAGAGAATACAAGAATCTAACATGAAAACTAGTAAAGCAAAAAAAAAAAAAAAAAATCATTCTAGTAGGCTACACCGGTTTAAAAAAAACACAACACAAAACAAAAAACCCTCCACCTTCTTAGAAATCAAGGAAAATGGGCTCTAAAAAAATAATTTAATAAAAATTATATAGGCTAAGCAGCCTTGAGGGGAACTTCTGGATGACCATGACTGACAAGGACCTGGAGTTATGGAGTCCAGTCACCCTGAGAAAACCACAAGGGAGTGATTCTCCCTGCTGCCGAGCAGATAGAATAACCCCAAGGGCTGCAAGTCTCACTGCCTTGCGAACCTTTAGCTTTCTGTCTGGCTTGGCAGACTCTGCTCGGCATCCGTCTCTTCCCTCACACCATAAATCTGAACGCAACAGATCCCTGTGAAAACATGCCGCACGATTTTTGATGGCTCCTGCACAACTGGTTAAGAAATGTTCCTTCTCCATACTGTGCGAAGCGTGTACTCACCTCAAACCTGCATCCTCATAATGTGGATGGTTCACAACGGGCCGCAGCGCAGAGAGTTTGACACTGGCCATGGTGGGCATTGCGCCTGCAAACACCGCATCTGCAAGGCAGGAAGGCAGGTCTAGGAAAGATGCTCCCGTGCCAGTGGCTTTGAGTCAACACAACTATTTCACAGGGGGAGAGGCTGAGGCCCAAAGAGCTCTGTCACTGAGCAGGTTGCCACAGACCAGAGGCTTCTCGGCATCTGGGAGCCTCATGAATAAGTGTTCCTCTTATTGGACAGCACTGAGCTACTAAAGTGTAATATAAAATGTTGGCAAAAATAATGAATTTCTCTTGGTACAATCTGTCGGATAGGACAGCAGAGAGTGTGAGCCACTGGCGGTATGCGCTAGCATCACTGTGTTCCAGCCTCAAGGTCAGGCCCAAAAGGAGCCAGGTGGCTGAAATGAGGGCTGGTAAACTCCCTTTCCCGGGGAGGCAGGTTCCTATCATCAGTGAGAATCTGTTTTTCTGACGCATGGGATTGAACCCAGCCATCCGCATGCAAGCATGTACTATAGTCCAGTGAGCTCTTTCCTGGACTGGGGAACATCAGTGAGGTCAGAGGTCCCTGCACAGACTGGGACTATGGCCCCAGCCTCTGGGAAGGGGTGGGGCGGGGGGCTGGCAGCGTGGCTTCCACGGGCCCTGGTGCTGAGCTATAGGGTCTGGTGGCTGAGTATGGCCAGTAGAGGTCCCAGATCCTCTGAGCAGTGTTTGGGAAGAACGCCTGCCCTGCTGACCAAGAAACACCTTTCTGGGTTTGAGGAAAGAAAAACCAAATGGAATAGGCAAATTTCACAGAGTCAAGGAAGATCTGAGTCACTTGATACTCATATGGAAACAAAACCTTCGTTTGCAGTCATGGGAAAACATCACTCCACTGGTCCATTCAAGGAGAAATATGATTATAAGATTATTACTGTACATTGTTGCACATGAAATAAGATGAACATTTAAAAATAATAATTTATGGAAAAAGAGCAAAACAAATGACTAGGTGAAATGAGTGATGCTTTCTTTGCAGCGTGTAAGACTGACTCTCCTGTTCTGGAGGATCCAGTAGCAGCTCTGCTGAGACAGAGACAGCCGCTGGAGAGTAAACTGAATTGAGGATTTTTACTGTAATTACATAAAATTGTATGAGAAACCCTAGCTACAAACAGGACTTTGTCTTCTTTACCTGGTTTTGTACTATATTTGATCCATTCTATAAGTTCTTCTTGGGGCAAGTTGCTGAATTCCCCTACAATATTCCACTGGGTTTGCAGGTTTGCTGAACCTTGTATTGACATTGCAGCTAATATAGCAAAAACAACAGTACCGGGATGTACTTTGCAGAAGAGCCATGCAAAGAGCTGAAATGGAATAAGAATACATTGGTAACTGCGAACATGGAGCATCACACAGTCCGTCAGATAACATTCTTCCCATGAAAAACATGGTTTCTGCCGGATTCCCAGGTAAAGGATAAACTATCCTAAGGAAAAGTTCCAGAAACAATGACACAAGGAATCAAAAGATACCCCATCAGCCCTAGATAGGTGGACCTGGCTTATAAAGGTCTCTCAACTTGTTCTACTTCGAGATTCAGGAAAGAAGCCTACCACATAATTTTCCCTGGCTTAGCTCAAAATGAAGAATGTGAGATTACCTGTTCAAGTCCCTAAGAATCTCAAGACAGAGTAACAGAGCTTGCCACTAGGTAAAGGTGCTTGGGAGTGAGGGTCCCTGGGTCATCCCTGCAGGCCCTGTCCTGACCTGTTAGGGCCGCCTCAGCCAATGGCTGCTCCGGCTCTCCAGAAAGTGTGCTGCCTGTCCACATTCAAACCGTCCCTTTCTCAGAAAGACCGCGTCCGCCCATCATTCGCTCTGCCAATGGCTTCTCACTGGCCTGCAAAGCTGGATTTCAAGCTCCTGAAGGGCCCAGCATGAATAGTTTTTGTGGCTTTTTCTACCGGTCACGCTGCCCTCCTCCATCCAGCATGGTGTGATGCTCAGCAGACTTGCCACACACCATGGCTGGGTGGGGACAGGAGGTGACAAAAAATGGGTGGCAAACCACCAGATGCTTCAGCAAGATTGTAAGAAATAAAAGACTAGGGACATGAATGCACTCACAAGTGAATTTTCAGAAATTACGCTTGATACTGTAAAGGACTTGTGACTTGAAGTTATTAGAATTCTTTGTGACAGAAATGTCAAAACAAAAATTATTTCCATAATTAAGCTCTGCTTTCTCTCAACATCTGTAATAATCATTCGTGAATCCTGCCTGCACTGATCTGTTTGTTTGTTGTATGCTAATGACTAACTCAGAAGTTGGAAGAACAGAAACTAATGGGCTTTTTGGATCTTACCCTTTAGGAAAGATCAGTATACAAACACAAATCATTTTAACTATGCCACTTTTAAAGAATTTTGGCTAATTCAGTAGTATTTTAGGACTGCTCCATGACATGGGGGGAGAATGATCTGAGCACCTGTAACCCACGCAAGGCGGGTGGCTTCACCTTACCTGTCGCGAGCAGATCAAGGAAGCCATGATGCACATGTGTGGTGTCAGGAAGAGTTTCAGTCTCATAATTAAAATGCCCAGGACTGTGTACGCTAATAGCTGCAGTGCATGATAAACAAGCTGGAAGAAAGAGAATATCCTTTTTATTCTTGCTATTCATGAAATTCAAGAACGGAGCCCTAATCTGTTGAATATGTAGGGAAGAGTACATTGAAAAATGATCTTGCTTTCTGAAACAAGACTTCAAATCACTTTCACACCTCTCAGTCACCAAGGGATGACACGCTAGGCCTCCAGGAGCTGCTAGGTCACAGCGACAGAGCCCACATTTCTGAACTGACAGCTGCTGCCTGAGGAACACCCCAAGGAATACTGAGCCACAGGCAACCCTAGGAGTGGTCCCCCTCAGACCTTGGGACAGGCCCATCACACGTGCATCCACTCTCTGGCCCCAGTATCACCCGCTCTGTGTGTGCCTGGTCCTGCAGAGCCCATGGGTGACAGAGACAGCTATGTGTCAACTCGCACACTCCTCTGAAGATGACCAGGGCACCAACCTACACACTTACCAACTAGAACGAGAAAATTTCAAATAGAAAACTTTCAAACAAGGATAAAATGCAAATGCAAGTGAAATTTTAGTAATGCTTTATCTTTACCTCTCCATGATCAAACTGCTGCTTCCTGAAATGAAAAATAATACTACTATTAAATCTGATTCAGGTACTTCAATTGCATGCATTCTTTTCTTTCAAAGAGGAGTTTTACAGCTCCTGTGTTTCCTCACGACACACAACAGTTATATAAATAAGAATAACTGAAACTGATAAACACTGCATTCCTGAAGTCCCGTAAGAATGTATTTCTGAGAAAAAGTGCTCTGTGCCACATACCTGGCTTCCCAGCTACTCGGCATGCTGGCAAAAGCCGTCAGTGGTGAGGCCCAGACCATCTTGGTGACCCCCACAAAGGGAGGGGTGGAGGATTGGGAAGTGTCCCCAGTCCCACCCCATGAGGCCTCAACCTCTGACCACCCGTACAGAAGGGAGCTGCTTGAGACACATGAGCACCCCAGTGCTCACCTGCTCCATCCCATCCCCACCTATCTACCTGCTTGTTCTCATCACTTGACTGAGCCATCTTTGTGAAAATGGAAATTCAGCCACCCCACTGTCTTACTCGGAAACCCCCATTTCAGAATCAGACCCACAAATCCTCGCCATGCCACCCCGACTCCCCCGGGCTGATCCCACTTCTCAGCCTAGAAATTCCTTCCCACCAGCCCCCCACCCATCCCCATAATACTCACGATATCACACCACAGCAGAGGCACCTATGCCACGCTCACCTCTACACCCTGCCTGACGGCCTCAGAGCAAACACCTTGTAATGTGCAGTTTACTTGGCTGTTATATATCTCTCCCCACTAAAAACAAAAACTGTTCCAGAAGCATCCAGGGCCCAATCCATGGTCCATTCCTTTACTCCCTTCACCGAGCACTGAGGACCCTGAAGACACAGCCGCACACAAGGTGGAAAATGACCTTTGGCCTCTCTGAGCAAGCTGAGGGACACAAAGCAAACAAGGAAACCAGGCAAGAAGGAAACCAGGATGAAAGACGCAGGGGTGCAGAGCGGCTGCAATGGCGCACACAGCCCCTGAGGTCACCAAGAGCCGCTTCTGTGAGGCCTGCAGGGGCTAAGAGGCTGACTGGTACTCTCCCGAGGAGCGGGGAGCGGATTCCACAGAGAGCAGAGCTGGGCACAGCAGGATGGAGGATGGGCTCAGCGGGCGGCGGGTCAGAGCGACACAGGGAGGAGGGAGGGCCCTCGGAGGCATACGGCAGGAGCACACTCAGGGCTCAGGCCCATATCCAGAGTCTGAGACTCTCACTAGAAACCCAGTGGACACAACAAACAGGGGGCATGTTTAGGCGTCAAACAAAAGTGCATGAGCTGAGAACACACACCTTCTCTCCCAGAGCCCATGGGTTTCCAGACTCAAATAGGGCCTGGCCCACAGAATTCCAATTCTATTTTGAATGGCAGAATGATGTAATGATTCAATAAACTAAACTACTCACAACCCATAAGCATGCAATTTGAAAATATGGTTTCAGAATACTGCTACACTAGCATATCAGTGAATTATGGCAGACCACTTTGTTGATTCTTCCTAGTGCCAAGTAAAAATTATCAGTTACCATTCACAGAACATGACAACATTAATATGCTCAGTACTTCCCATTAATTCTAAATAATCCCCATCTAAAGTCAACTCTGTCACAATTCACTGTGGAGGAAAGAAAGTCAGACAGCTGCTGGAAAAACCCGACGGGCACTCTGGCTCATTTTGGAGACGATGTATTTCCTCTGCAGCATGCTGCCTCTTCCCAACTTTACCTCCTTGCTCCCTGAACAAAGGGACACTGGAAACTCACATCTCTGATGACCTCCTACCTTACTCCATCTTCCACTGGCATGTGACTTTGGTACTTATGCAGAATGAAAGTTCAAAGTTTCCTTCTTCTAGAAACGCTCTGCTCCTACTTTCACTGAAAACCCCAGGAAGCTCAGTGGTTTTTTTTCTATGATTATTCCTACAGATGAGTCACTCTTGAAAGGAATTCTTTGTTTCAGTTAAAAGGTTCACCTTTCCATTCCAGAACTACATGTTACAGCTAGAACTCGAAGCTCCTTTGCAAACTCTTCAGAAAGAATGTCATCTCAAATGAAGAGAAATTTTACATCATATATCAGAAACTCCTGCCTCCTCCCTCCTCCAAGGCTCTTCAGGTACAAGCAAGTAAAGAACTATTTCTAAATAAAAACAAGAGTTGTCTCAAGAGCATATGCAATAATTTATCACTGGTTTGTGGAAACTTAGAAGAGAATAAAATATAAGCTTTCCTTACATTTTTTTAATAAAAGAAAATAAAATACAGACACATAAATTCAACAATCTCTATCTTCCCCCAAAAGACTCACAAAGGAACGAACACAGAGTTAACAATTCTTTTACTCCAACTTCCAGTCCTACACAAAGGCACAAGGATGACAGAATACCAGAGGAAGGTAACAACTTGCCATGGTTAAAGAACAGAAAGGAAGCAAGGGGGGGTCAGAGCACAGGAGCATTGACGGAAAAGGAAGGCGTGTGTTTCTTTTTTTCAACTGTGAGTATCCTTCATTTTCTTTTAGATTTTTATTACTTTCCTGCTAGCAAAAATTTTTAGGTAAGATAAGGACTCTGTCATACACTGCAACTATTTCCCCAATGCCTTTTTCTTTGAACAATATTTATAATACCTTTACCAGAGAATCTGGCCAGCATTCTCAGTTTTTCATTCTAGCTTATGGTTTTTAAGGCATGGTTAACAGAGTCTCTTTCATGCTAAAACTATAAATAATAACAACCAACTCTTGATTAATCTGGGGGCTTCATTTTTTTTCATACTTAATTTTTGTGTAAAAGCTGAGGTATAGATCCAGTTTGACATTTTCCTACTTTTTTCTCAACTGGGTCTAAAGCCAGCAAGAAAATAATTTATTTTTTGCTGCTAATCGAAAGCATAAGGTGCAGCACACAGCATGTGAGGCCACTGCCAGGTCGCTATGTGGGGGTCTGGGGGTACAGGTCATGGGAGGGCCACTGCCAGGTCACACACGGCAGGTGTGGGGGACAGGCCAGGTGAGGGCCACTGCCAGGCCACACAGGGTGGGTCTGGGGGGACAGGCCACGCAGGGCAGGGTCTGGGGGACAGACCGTGTGCTGCACTCTGCGTAGTAGAGCATAGTGAAGAAAGGAAGCACCGACTACACTGAGAGATAAGAGGTTAAAATTAAACATGTATTTACCTGTTGGGTGTCTGCTGTTGGGCGAAGAAACCCCACATGTCACTGATAATCTGTAAACAGATTTTCAAATACTTTAGAAACGCTAATTCAGGGCAGGGAAGATCAAGACGTTAACTATTTTCTCAAATCTTCAATATTTATTAAAAATATATGAAGTACAAGGTAAGCGATTAAAGAGTTACTGCAACAATAAAAGTTCACATTGCAGAGCACTTACTCATACCCAATATATACCCAATACCTAATACCACTGTCTGAGTAAACATCCTCATTTTAGAAAGGAGCAACTTGAAGGGGAAAGAGCAACTTGAAGGAGCAAGAGAGGGGGCCCCACTCCTAACCCCAGGGGCGCGCTGGTCCTCAGTGTCTGCCGCTATGGCAGGAACTGTGACACACACTCACACAGAGACTCGGCTCAAGCTCTGCCCAGACCAGCCTTACTATCTCAGCAGGAATTGGAGGTGACAGCAGAATCTGCCCCGCTCCACACCACAGATGGGAACAAACTGCCAATGCTATTCTGGACCTGAAAACCGTCCATGAAGCCAACAGAGAGAATGGTCTAGTTTGAGTGGGTAGGGCGGGGGCTCCAAGCAGTTTGGGGCTGAGGGCAGGGGGCACACCTGGGGGTGCTTGGCTGCTCTGGGGGCTGGGCAATGTTACTGTTCAGGTTCAGCAGTCCTGGGTGTCACCCGGACCACACCTAATGGTGCTCAGAGGGCCATGTTGTGCCGGAGACCCCACCCACGCTTCTGTACGCTTAGGGTCCAGACCTTTTGAACTATCTTCCTGGCCGTGAAATCTGATTTTTAAGTGCCAGGCTCCCAAATGTTTGAAAATAAATTTCTCCATCTGAAATATTTCTTTTTTAAATCCAACATTTCAGCTTCTTCAGTCTGATCTCATGTTTTATTATCTCCGGTCATCCAGGTGACAGTCTTGACAATGCCTACTGGACTGCCAACACCTAACATTTTCCTACTTCCTAATAACTGCATGCTCACGCAGAGTATGCAAAGTACAAGGGAAGCCCTAGAGCACTGAGCAGAAGCTGGCAGAAAATGACCAGGGAAGATGTGAGGACAGTTGCTCGAGGAGAAAGCCAACGCCACACATAGCCCAGCGAGGCCCAAGTCTGTCCCCACTCTCCTCCTGTGGACACGATGTGAAACTCAACAGCCTCTCTGAGCTTCCAACCCTGCTGCTGTCAGATGGGGTAACAACATCTGTACTCCACTGAACTTGTCAACCAATCAACTGAAATAATGTTTACACAACATTTTGGGAGATTTCAAAGCAGAGTAAGAATACAGAATATGAACAATAATTATAGTTCAGAATATTCTATCATTACAGAATATTATATTAATACAGAAAACACTAGCTACAAATTAGATAACGTTTATGTCTGTCATGTTTTTCAGTTATGGATTAATTCCAATTCATCCTTAAAACACTTGTAAATAGAGTTCACCAACTCTTAAAAAAAGAGAATATCACACCACTTCTTCCTTAAGTCTCGAATACCTGTGATAATACTGGGTTATGAAGACCACTATCAAAAACTGAAAGTTTATTTTTATCAAGTCTAGAAGACATTGTTAATATTATTTTCTTCTTAATAATAGGTATAGCTACGATAACACTGGCTCGTCCTTTCTCCTCCCTCCTTTCTCTCTTGCTGCAGGGAGCTTAGGTTAATTGGGTTACACTCATCACAGTGTTCCGAAGGCACTCCCATTCCTCCGTGTTTATCTTTAAGCTCTTCTCTGTGCTCTGCTTCCCCTATCTGTTAATCACCTATATCCCCAAATCAGACCCTATGCCTTGTAAGGTCCAATCCTTCTAAGCACTCTGGATTTCGTATTTGTAAGGGAAATACTGCTTTTCTCTTTCCCTTATATCCTTTGCAGTTTACTTTAGTGCAATGTCCTTTTTGTACAGACACAGGAAGACAGTTAATGCTATGCCTTTGTAACCTGGGAGTTAACTGACTTCTTATAATATTTACTCCTGGGCATCTGTTATGTGTACTCGACTTAAACCTCAGTTACCCTTAGTTACTAGCACCCCAAAAGGAGGATCCCAAAGAAGGGACTTGGATGAACTCAGGGCTATCCAGGCATCAAATCAGGTCAGGCCAAGTAAGTGCCATAAAACAGGGAATACTGTCTGCCATGGAGGCAAAGGGAGGGTGGGGAAGGGGGGTATACAGGGGAGATTGGTGGTGGGGAATGTGCACTGGTGGAGAGATGGGTGTTTGATCATTGTGTGATTTTAACTCAAACATGAAAGCTTGTAACTTTCTCATGGTGATTCAATAAAATTTAAAAAAACAAACAAACACACACAAGAAAACAACGTAGTAAGTTAAGAGCAGTCATGGACAAATTCTGTCATGACTCAAAGAGAAGTGTCTGGACAAGGACTCTGCTGGTGTTAGGAAGGACTAATCTGCCCTGAGGACTGTAGTCTGGGATCTATAGTGAGATGCCCCCAGGAAAGCCACCCTATAAGCTTAACATATCTCTTACTGTGTCCATATACATGGCTCATGGCCAGAGAATGCACATGGTATGAGCCTAACACATTTGCTAACACACAAATAGGCATATACCAGAGTGATACTTAGAAAGTTACATATAAAGTATTTTAGGGAAATGTTACATACAAGTTAAAAATTACTCAAAAGCAATTTACATGATGCAAAAAGATTCTATCACAGTTCTTTTTTTTCAAAATACATAGCTACAAAACCTGAATCATTCTTTTACCATGTTTATGCTAACAGAATATTTTTAAGACTTGTAAATATTATCAAAGATGATGACCAAGAGAACACAAAAATAGCTTATTAAATCATGCTGTCCCACTAAAAAATAGCCTAGAATACGCATCGACTGTGTGGAAACAAGCAAATGTCTTGTTCTAAGAAAGAGCTGGCAAGTAATGGACATACCTTTCTAACAATTGCGAGGAACACGACAAGGACAACTGGAAGCAACAATGTCTTTGTATACCGCAGTGGAGTCTGAAAATCAGAAAACATTTCAATAGAGGAAATTCTGTTTTACACAGATGCACTGTGATTTGAAATAATAATTAATTTTGGGGGCCACAGCCAGTGGTGTTCAGTGGAACATATGGGATGCCGGGGATTAAAGGCAAGTGCCCTACCCACTACAGTATCACTCTGGCCCCTACTTGATTTAATTTTTAAAAGAAAATGTAAAAGAAAAGTATTAACCCATCTAGAGCCCACTCTTATCATAAATACTGAAGATGCATTTCCACAGAAACAAATATGCCCCAAAATACTAAGCTCAAAAATACTAATACAGTTCCCAGTGATATGTAAGCAGAAATTACTGTTCACTTCTAGTGGTTTTTAACTAGAAAGCTCAACTCCTAAAGTAAATACTCCTTCCGATGGAATCAGATTATTCTATAAAGTAAGCAGAGAATAAAAACATTATCTAGTTCACACATGAGACTAATATTTATAAAAGGGATAAAATTTGCTTTTCCTTTAATAAAAATGGGTAATAGTAACAACAAAGTCCTACAGATTCTGATCATGTGTATCTCTCAAGAATCTTGGTCACAATCTTAATTTACTGGTAATGCTCCTGGCTCTGTACTCGGGAAGTACTCCTGGTGGTGCTCTGGGAACCATATGGATGTTGGGAACCGAAACTGGGTAGGGCACATACAAGGCAAACACTTTACCCGCTGTAATACCTCTCCAGCCCCAGTACATAGTTATTTTTAAATCTATTTCTAGTTTCTAGACTTTAAAGTGACTTAATCTAAGCAAATATAAACTAAAGTGTTTAAGTAAGATGCCATTTGCTGATTACAGTCAATAATTAATGTAAGACTAGCTATCTGTCTTTTCTAACAGCTACATAGTACTCCATTGTGTAAATGTACCAAAGTTTCTTTAACCAGTCATCTGCTCTTGGGCACTCAGGTTTTTTCCAGATTCTGGCTATTGTAAAGAGTGCTGCAATGAACAAACAATTGCAGATGTCACTTCGTCTATACCTTTTTTGCCTCTCTGGGATATATTCCCAGGAGTGCTATAGCTGGGTCAAATGGCAGATCAAATTCTAATTTTTTGAGAATCGTCCATACTGTTTTCCAAAAGGGTTGGACCAGCCGGCATTCCCACCAGCAGTGAAGGAGGGTCCCTTTCTCGCCACATCTGCGCCAGCATTGGTTGCTTTTGTTCTTGTGGATGTGGGCCAGTCTCTGTGGTGTGAAATGATATCTCATTGTGGTTTTGATCTGCATCTCTCTGATGATTAGTGATGTAGAGCATTTTCTCATGTGCCTTTTTGCCAGTCGAATTTCTTCTTTGCGAAAGTTTCTGTTCATTTCCTCGCCCCATTTTTTGATGGGGTTGGGTGATTTCTTCTTGTGGAGTTTAACCAGTACCTTGTATATCCTTGATATCAACCCCTTGTCGAATGTGTATTTGGTGACGAAGTTATGAAATTTACATACAAGTGGTACTACATGGAAAGTATCATGTTAAGCGAAATGAGTCAGAAAGAGCGGGATAGACACAGAAAGATTGCATTCATCTGGGGAACATAAAGCAACAAAAAGGAAGACTAACACCCAGGAATGGTTGAGATTAGTACCAGGAATTTTGCTCCATGACTGGAAGGCCAGCCACATGTGCTAGGTGAAAAGGAAGCTCAGATAGAGAAGAGAGCACCAAATAAAGGGTGTTTTGAGGACCCTCCCAGGGTGGGAGAAGCATGCTAAAAGTAGTCTATAGACCAAACATGATTGCCACTCAATGCCTCTCTTGCAAAACACAGTACCCAAAAGAAGAGAGAGAGAACAAGTGGTAATACCCTGCCACAGAGGCAGGATGGGACGGGAGGGGGGATGGGGGGGATGCTGGGACCCGTGGTGATGGATGACGGGCACTGGTGGAGGGATGGGCACTTGATTATTGTATAACTGAAACCCAAGCACAAAATTTGTAAGTCTATAACTGTACCTCATAGTGTTTCACTAATAATTAATTAATTAAAAACAGAATTACTCTATAAAAAAAAGAAAAAATAAAAGAGACTAGCTATCCGATATAGGCGTTTACCTTAAAATAAAGCAACATGTTAAAATGTACTTCATTATCTTTAAAAAATTTAACAGTTGAAACAATTTTGAAATTATGTTCTTTTTTTTTCCCAATCAATCACTAGAGTCTGACTGACAACACTTTCTGGAGAAATTTATTTAAGTTCTTCAAGGCAACGTACCAGGACCAAACATTTTAGGACAAGGAACTATTTTGAGCACACAGAGACTCAGGGAGTTCTGCGTCCATGCGCTCTTCCTTAGGAATCCTTCACTTCTTGGTCTGACACTTTCTTCAGACCCCACTGAGGACACGCACAGCCTTGAGTCCTGTACTCGGATCTATGCAGCACTGTCTATGCCCGCTTCTGCAATGCTGTCCTCAGGTGCTACCGTTCCTCTCCCCTGCCCTCAGGCATCACATGGCAAAGCCTTTTGCTGGAACACAGGAAATAAAGACTGAAAGAGCATGGCTGGACATGCACACTAGGAGGCCTGGCTCCAAGCTTGCGTAGTGTGATGCGCTAGAGGTCACTGGCCTGTACTCGGGACAGGGCCCGACTGAACAGTGGGGTGAATGGGAAATGAGGACCAGAGACCTCTGTTGTAGTTCAGTGGACACACACATCTGTGGTGGAATGTGTTTCAGGTAATAAAATGTAGTAAATCCGGGTTCCATTAGTACTATCAGCATATGCTCATTTGCTTGACCACACGAGCTCATAAAACACTGCAAAAATATCTCTTCTACAACACGGAAATGTCAATGCCTAAATAACTAATTTTGTCCGTATAATATATGTTCCCAGCATACTCTTAGAAATTAGTAAGCTATGCCACAAAGAATCAGTATCACTTGTTTAAGAACATCAAGTGATATCACAGACTTTGGTCTTACAATCCACCAAACCGCTGTCTGGTTTTCTTTCACATATCTAAGTAGTTTTGGAATAAAAAATGTTCTTGGAATGAAAAACGTACACTCCAATGTACTCATTCTTATTTCAGAGCAATGAGATCATTCAGCTAACCACAAAGTGAGAGGAAATGTAAGGGCTCGAGTGCTACTCTGAATTAATGCTTTCTCTGAAAAGAGGCAACTTGACATGGCTCTGTTTATTCATCCAAAAAGCCATTGCTTGTTTGAATGCATGCGTCTAAATTATCACACGAGAGAAGCCCATCTATTTCAGGGAGATGAACTAATGTAAATAGGAACATTCTCCTCTAAGCTGCCTGATTTTCCTTATTTCTTGAAACAAAGAAACAGCAGCAGAGAGCACAGACCAGCAAAATAGGAGCGACATTTCATAAAAAGGACGGCTGGGAATCTGAGGGAGGAAAACTAGAAATCACATCTTACCTCTTTTTCCATAAAGTCAAACTCTGCCGCACAGGTATACAGTAAAGTATCAAAATCCTTGTAACTGAAGAATTTTGATGTGAGTAAGTTACCGATGTGAGCCTAGTGAGGACAGAGGAGCTGGCATTAGTTGGCATCCTGTACTATCGACCCATTCTGCTCTAACAGGGCTGCCCCCCACACAGAAGTTGCTGACACGGGGGAAACGCTGTGCTCTGGCACATCCCGTCCGCCTGGTGCCCACCATCATTTATGGACAAAACAAAGACTTTGAGGCTGTGCCTACTCGCTCCTCAAAATCACTACACCAAGTCTCCTTTGCTCAAGCCTCCCAGATGTGGTGGGTTTGCAAACGGACGTGATGCCAATCTTCAAGGGATAACGTACAGGAAGTCAAGAAAGGAAATTAAGGATTCAGATTACTGGAAAGACTTTTTTGAACTGTAGTGGACCTTGAAACTGACACCAGTGTAATTCTTTAAAATGTATCACGCGTTCTCATATCCCTTTATCTACTTTTCACAAAAAAATCATGAAAGGTTAAAAAAAAAACTAGACAAAAAAAAAAATGAAGATATTTGCCAAACTTTTAAGTTCACCATTACCTAAAAAAATGCAGGACTCAAAGGAGAAAAGAAAGATTAAATCTAAGATATACCATACCAAAAACTCATACATGATTATAAATAAAATGGGGCAATCTGGGTGAAACTGCTAAGCCATCTTAAAATATTTTGTCTTTTGGGGGAAGAAATGCATATGAAAAATTTAGGAATGAGATAATACTTTAAAATGCTTTTAAATATCAATCAAATAAAAAGGAGTTTTTAGGGGCTGGAGAGATAGTACAGTGGGTAGGGCGCTTGCTTGCATGTGGCCAACCCAAGTTCAATCCCTTGCATCTTGTAGGTTTCCCTGAGCCCACCAGGAGTGATCTCTGAATGCAGAACCAGGAATAAGCCCTGAGCACAGCCTGGAATGGCCCCAAAACCAAAAAAAGAAAAGGAAAGGGAAAAAAAAAACAAAGAAAGAAACAAAAATGTTTTTAAAAGTAAAAACATTGGAAAATCTCAGATGGTATGGAGGAAACAAGTCCTAAATATAAAAATAATTGTCACAAATATAAAGAAGTCTACTTCACTATTTAGAGGACAGATAATTAAACTGAACACTGTCGCTCTGTAGCACTGTCACACTGTCCTCCCATTGTTCATCGATTTGCTCAAGCAGGCCTAGTAATGTCTCCATTGTGAGACTTGTTACTGTGTTTGGCAAATCGAATACGTCACATGAGGAAAAATTCAAAATTAAGTTTTCTACAAAAGAGATATTTAAAAGTAATGAGAAAGGTAAAACTAGACAAGAAGACATATCAAATACATGGAGCCAAATAAATTTAGCCTTAGCAATTGTCATGTCTCACAAAACTGAGTTCAAGCAATAATTACATATACACGATATGACAAATGACATTAAATACTGGCAAACTGTAGCACTAAGCAAGACAATACACATCATGAACATATTTGCAGTGAACAGTAAAGATTCAAATTATATACACGAGCTGGCAAAACTGCAGGAAGAAACTGACACCCTGACGGCATTCACTGGAAATCTTAATGTTGTTATCTAGATTAAACAAAAATGCAGACAAAGCTAACACAACGGCTGAATGAGATCAGAAAGCCACAGAGAACAAACATCCATAGAGAAAACCTCCACTTCACCCTTCTGGTTTCAAATGCTTTTGGAGGGCTGGGCCACCAGCACAGCAGCATGCGCTCCTCTGAGCCACACACCTACCTCTCACATGGGGTCTTCAACACAGCTATTTGTCTTTGCTCTGTCTTTTTCTCTGGGCCCCGGGCAGTGTGAGGGGTCTGAAGCTGCACAGGCCTGACAACTCAGTGCACAGCCACTGGGCTCAGAGGTCCTAGGCATCACACAAGGGCCCTCACATATGCCAGGTATGCACCGAAACCCTCACTCACCTCACCTGCCCACGCCACCAGGAAAGTCCCTTTTCAAGTGTTCACATTTCATTACACATTTTCAAAGAACAAATAATAAATACAACTGTTTTAATCAGAAACAGAGAAAAATTAGAATGGGGCCACTCCCTGAGCCCAGCTCAGGGCGCCATACATGGTACTGGGGATCAAACTCAGGCTGGTCATATTCAAGGAAGCGCCTTACCAGGTTTATTATCACTCTAGCTCTGAGTGATAAAACAAAACAAAACAAAAAGCCAAAAAAACTTAATAAGGTCTCTGAATCAACTTTTAAAGGTGACCCATTTGTACAATACACAGAAAGTGGGGAAAAGCAAGAAAATATAAACTAGCTATGCAAGTCTGATCGGATTAAAAATCCAAATAAGGAAAGTTAAGTAACTGATCAATTCAAACTCCAGACTTAAACTTGCTGAGAAGTTTCAAAAGTGGGACCAAAGGTAAGTAAAACCTGCTACCCCCATCCATGTCTCTGGCGTGCAGGTTTGTAAAGAAAAGCTCTGAATGCTGGAGGGAGGCAACCCATTTGTAAGAGACATGTACATGGATAAAGGAAAACCTCCCCTGGCAAAACAAATTGATTTAAAAATCTTAAGACTCGGGGGTATGGTGCTGCCAGCAGGTCAATCTGTACCTGTGAGCCAAGTGCATCAGCAGCCTGATGGCGACTTCAGACTTCCAGATACTCCAAAATTGCTGCTATGCCTTTGGCCAGACCCCAAAAACTTGGGGCAAAGTTTACCAAGAAAGTGGCCAAAAGTTTGGTATGTGGGAGACACACCCACAAACCACCTCTGGCTCAGCTATATAATTGGAGGCAAGGCCTCTTTGGTTCCTGATCGAACTGCTTAACGGCCATGATCCCAGAGACTCAGAAACAAATCTCGAAACCCAGCAGCCTTTGGCAGAAATGAGTGCGGACCCCATAGTAGGTTACTGTCACCGAGCCACCTCAGGGGGAAAAGGTTGCTGCCCCTCCGCCTGCTCCCCCTTGGCAGCTCGGTGGCCACCATCGTCCAGAGGCCATTGGACAGTCAGGTTTGGACCCTCAGTGCTGAGACATGCAGGGCCTCACAGGATGGAGGTGGAGCCAGCCCTTTCCTCCCTGCCCCAAAGAGTTCAATGAGTCACTGCCCACGAATGGCCTCTCTGGCTCCTGATCAAGCTGCTTTAACAGTCATGATCCAAGAGACCCAGGAACAAATCTCAAAATCCAGCAGGTTTTGGCAGAAATCCCTCCAGATTTAATTGTTAAACTTTCGGAATTCCAAAATCGTGCGGCCACTACTGCAGCCACAAGATATCATATGTTATTCATAACCAGCAATAGAAAACAAATTGTCTACTGTTGCCTTTTCAACAGATCTAAGTGTTGGTAAAATCCCAAATAATAATGGTGGGTCTGGTGTTGAAATATTGAATGTAATCAAAGTAGAGAGAGAGTAATGTGGAAATCATCTGCCCCACAGGTAGGGGGAGGGTGTGGGATGGGGGTGTACTGGGGTTTTTGGTGGTAGAAAATGGGCACTGGCGAAGGAATGGGTGTTTCATTTGTATGACCGAGACTTAAACCCGAAAGCTTTGTAACTGCTCTCATGGTGATTCAATAAATAAAATTATAAAAAAGGGGGGGAAAAAAAAGTAAGGTGGAGTTCATGCCCAATCCAATCAGCCAAAACAATGGCTGAATAAACAGCAATACTCCTACATAAAAATAAACAAATAAATAAAAATCTTAAGACTAGATATAATGCAAAGATCTCAGTGAGAATTTGCACTAATTAAATCCTATAGTAATAAAAAAAAACATGAAACAATGATACAGATGAGATGGATGTTTCACTAAAATTACAAACTATCAAAGAAGTTTCCTGAGAATGTGATTTAGAGTAGAAAATCTTCCATGAAGTAAACTCAGAATCTGAGAGCAACCAACTCAGATTCTACCAAACATCTAAGGACGAAACAATCATTCACCCATATCTTCATGAATATAGACAAAAATATCAGTCAACCATTTCCAGCAAAATAAAGGGAAAAAATGACACACTAGAAGTATATGATGCTATCTAAGAAATCATGACTGGGTCAATATGAAATCACTTAATATCAGAGCCTTTAGATATGGCAGAGAAAGCCCAACAGATCTAATTCCTCGCTACTATAAATCTCAACAAAGCTGTCAAAAATAACCTTACACAGGGGTTCTAGAAATTGGGTGGAAAGTAGGTGGAAAAAAATTCATTCACTAAAAATCTTTTCTTAAACGGTTAACTTGGATTAAATTACCTGTGAAGGCTTATAAACAAATCTTTCACAAGTATTGATTTTTATAAGTCTTGACAGAACTGAGAGAAAAAAAAGAATGAGACTTTCAGGGCCTGGAGTGATAGTACAGCAGGGAGGGCATTTGCCTTGCGTGTGACCCCAGCATCCCATATGGTTCCCCGAGCACTATCAGGAGTAATTCCTAAGCACAGAGCCCTGAGCATCGCCCACCAGGTATGGCCCAAAATTGTAACAACGACAAAAAAATGAGACTATGATCTCCTGTTTCAGAGGTGCTGAAAAATGAAGTCATTCTCTATTACAATAGGGTTGTTGAAGAAGCCCCAAAAGTCTAGATAGACTAAAATCCATGCTTCAACATCTAGAGCTTTTTAGCTTTGAATTTTTAAAATCATTGTAATATACAAATATCTTTATCAACACAGTGAGTTACGTTAAGTAATTAATTTTGAAAAATAGAGACCATACAGTTAATTTATTTCCTAATAGAGTGATAATTAAAGAGATAAATGATAGACTTCAACTTAGAATTTAATAGTGATACTTCAAAACCGCAAGTAATTCATTCTTAATTCTTTTCCAGTCTTTTAAGAATAAGCAAAAATGCACTTACATCATCTGCAATGCCAAAGATTTTAGATGTCAAATATTTGAGTATAACAGTTCCAAACAACCAAAAACATCCCTGGATAACCTACAATAAACAAATAAAAATACATTGATGCTTCATATAAACATTCTGTAGATGGTTTAGGATGGAAAATGAAATGCCTTAAAACATCTCTGACACAAATATTTTCATATTCAAGGAAAAAAATGCTAAAAACTGCATCTAAAATTAAAATGAGTACTACTAGAAAAATCAAGGGGATATCACTGAACAACAAAAAATATATACAATTTTACTATAAAGCTAACAATTTTCATAGGAGATTTATTTAGCAGTTTCAGTACAATTCCTCTTCTGTTAACAGTTCCTTCTCCATACACTGCTTCCCTGGGGGAAAATACAGGTTAATAAAATAAGTAGCACTGGAGTTCTTTACCTATTTATCCAATATTATTATTAACTTGTTTCATAAAAAGTATAATTTGGCACATTAAAAATGAGCCCAAATATGCTGTAAAGCTATAAGAACCCTTGTGTTACATAGATCATTTCCTTAAAAGTAAAACATAAAACAAATGATATATTTTAGAGAGGGAAAACACATGCATTCAAATAGATTGATTCTTACCCATAAACTAAGTTCAGATACATTTATTTTCAGGAAATGTGGTTTCATTGCCAGTACACCCTACATGGAGAAAAATCAAACAGCAGACAGTTAATACCCCCAAATATAAATTCAAATATCAAATATCACATCTAAATAATAAGACCCAAGTGTCTAGACTAGTTTACCATGGCTGTTCTACACAGAATCATTACAAGCTCACTGACAAACATCAGAAACAACACAATTTAATCAAAGGGGATCAGGTAAGTGATTTTTTTAAGATGAAAAATAGATCACCAAATATAATTTTCTTTGACTAACATACCTAAGAACCAAGATGTATATAATAATTTCGGAGTTTTAAACAAATCTTATTTAAGTTGTATATTTATTAAACTATGATTAACTGAAAACAAATTCCAAAAATATTTCTAACCTACCAACTAAACACTCTCTGTCAAATCTCATTTTTTTTTCAGGTATATTTCAAAAGATAGCACCAAAGTGAACCCAAATTTCTTTTCAGAAATGTCTGAGTATCTGAGAATCAGATATTGCAAATATCATTCAAAATATGCTAAGATTTGGGGTTGAAATTAAGGAGAGGAAAATGTTTACAGTTAAATATGCACAAAAACACTATATTCTGTTAGTTGTTGATGTTGTTTGTTCTCATAGATCAAAATATATGGAATACACAGTAACAAGTTTAATTCTTATCTAAGATACATGCGGTGCCAAGTAACTTGTCAGGCACATAACACAGTGCAGGCGTACACTACACGGGCATTTCCTATAAAATGTATTTTCATCAGTTTTTACTTACAGGCAATCTTTTGGCTTCCCTGTCCACAGAAGCAAGAGTCACTATTTTAACATGAATGATGACAGGGCTTTCCCCATATATATATGTAAAATACCATAGTACATTTGTTACATTTCCTAATTAAAAACAGAATTCACTTCTTGGAAAAACTATTCATATTACTCTTATAGCACAACAACTCAGTAACAGTTTTCTGTCATTTGAAAGCAGCAGCATCACCTGCTAATCAATCGCCCATTTCTGTGACTGACTTTAGTCAAGTCACATAACCTGAAAAAAGTTGTGGCCCAGCCTGGGATGCAGTATGTTTTTGCATTGTAGAATGGACTCTTAGGTAACTATTATTTACTAAACAGGACAAAAAAATAGGAAAGTTTGTTTAACAGGTTCTAGAAATCAAGGTCAAAATAAGTAACTGAAAGGATTCTTGAAGAACCAGTACATTTCCAGTTAATCCATGAGATCACAATCTTATACTCAGGAAACCAGCTACACGAAAGCACTGTCACTGTCCTCCCACTGTTTATCAATTTGCTCCAGCGGGCCCCAGTAACATTGTAAGACTTGTTGTTACTGTGTTTGGCATACTGAATACATCATGGGGAGCTTGCCTGCTTGGCCAGGTGCAAGGCAAACGCCCTACCCGCTGTGCTGTTGCTCCAGCCCACAAAAGCACACACATTTAAATGTAGAGAATCATTTCTTTTCTCTTCCAGAAACTATGAGATTGGGACTTATAAGACAAAGTGCTATTTTCCAGCATTAGCTTCATTTGTTTCTTTTCTGTCTGACAGTGAGTATTGGAATTCACTATCACAATCAGATGTAGTTAATCATGCTCTTGTGACAGTTCTTGCAGAAAATGCTTCATGAACTCAAGTCAGTGATAAAGAAACTGATAAACCATTCATTTCCCATCCAGATACTTAAAGAAAACTTACCCAAATTATTACCAAAGAGGAAGCATAATAAGAAGTTAATAACATTGAGTTTCCAAACATTAAGACAAAACAAACTGCAAGAGAAATCTGGAAAAAAAATTAGAAAAAAATATAATTAATGCACATAAAACCAAAACCTTAGTTTTTAGTCTGAAAACTGCACGTGCCATGAATATAGAGTGAAAGCAGCTCCCACCCTATCTCACACTCTAAATGCTGGAGGCTCACCACTGTGAACAGTGCTCCATTCCTTTCTCCAAACAATTTCACATACACAAACTTTTCTAATTATTCAAAACAACCCATAGAAATTTAGCCCATAGAGTGAGTATACCATTGCTTGCTTTTAATCTGAATTTGTTTCAGAGTTCTCCTTATCAATCCATCCTAACTCTTTTGGTTATTTTGTTGAATAGCTAAAATAAAGGTTTTCCTCTAAAAGATGCACCATAATTGATTTAACCAGTCCACTGAGCACTGCTGGACAGTGTTTCCCAACTTGGTTTTATTATGATGTACCCCTCCCTCCCCCCTTCCCCATTAAAAATACTGCTATGAGACACATCCTTATATGTATGTGAGGTTCTTTCTCCTTCTTCACCACTATTGCCTCAGAACCAGGAAATGTTAGTGCTCAAACATCAGTGTTTGTTTTTTTTTTAATCAATAAATCAAGAAAAATGAGAAATTTCTAAGTCACAGCATAATTAACAAATATTCTAGAATTAGCATCTTTTTGAGTATCTACATTTTAACATATTTAAAAGTCATTACAGGAAAAGTCACTGCAGAATCTTTAATCCTTTTTGTCTGCTGGACAAGTAAACTGAATAATTTTGTTTAAACAGAAAAAAAAATGAGGAAATTCCAAGCAAAAAAGTTACAAAAATCTGTCCTATTATTATCAGTAAACTAGCAATTTAAAACTCTGTATACAAATAAGTAATAACTCCCTTAGTTCAACAGGTATGTTGTACCAAACTTTCCAGGAATAGTTTTCCAAACATAAAATTGACAAAAAAAAATCTAACGGGGGGCAGGGGCGGAATTTTAAATCACAAGAATGCAAAGAAATAGGAAAACATAAATCACTCAAAATAAAAACATAAACCAACAGACCAAAAGTAACTGTCATAGAGAAAATCAGATACCAGACTTACCAAGGATTTTTAAACCACTTTTGAAAGAACTAAAGATGAAGAAAAGTCAAGAATAAAGAACAAAATGATCCCCCCACCACCTAAAGAAAATATATAAAAAGAAGTGGAAAAGAAATCCTGACTTAAACACAAAAATAAAATTGAAATTAAAAATTCACATGCTGAAGTGAAAAGCATGTTTGGGCAAAACAGAAAGCACACTGGAGACAGGGCACCAGAATCAGCAGGTCTGAGGAAGAAAAGCATCCCATGCTGCAGGGACAGTCCCGCAAGCAGGGACTGGGCAGCATCACACCTGCCCGCAGTCACACTGGCTACACCTCAAGACAAAGAGGCAGAGATCACAAATGGCTCCCCTGTGAGGTGTAATCACAAGATCCTGGATGTTTAAGGTATGCAAAACAGGAGAATCTTCAGGGCAGAGAATGTGCCATAAGAATTTTTAAAGTAAGCTTTAATGTCAATAATGCACATAACATGGTAAACTTTGATTTTCTTTAATCTACTGAAAAGACAAACTGCTACAAATTCTAGGTTTGCTCTGGATAAGATAGTGTAAATATTTTTTATATTTTAAGGAATCTCCCGAGAAAGCAAGGATTTCATCCTTTATGTTCTTTATCATCAGGGCATCGACTCAGTAAACTCTTTGTAACTGTAAAAGAACAAAACATTGCTTGCAATTAAACAAGCTTCTATATGTACCATTACTAACTTCATCACTTTGGTTAAATAACCATTAATTCATAATAATCTTTGTGTTTTAAAATCTCTTGATACCTTTGTTTGACCAAATATCGCTAAATCAAAGTCTAAATGACTTCAGTTACCATGAGATGCTTTTCCAGAAGGATCCTGGGAATCCTACAAAATTGACCTCTCTTGTGCAGAGAAAGAAACTAATTAGGTTTCTTTGGTATGTTAAATTGCATGGGAAGCCTTGTCAAATAAAAAGTGTTATATTTCTGTGCCAACATAAGTCATACAAAAGTTCTTTTTGTTGTAGATGTATAGGTGTGTATGACAAAATAATCTGAATTCTAGAAAACTTCTTCACAGTTGATGCCATAGAAAATGTGATCGATGGGGCCGGAGCAATAGTACAGCAGGCAAGGCATTTGCCTTGCACACGGGAGACCCGGGTTCGGGTCCCAGCATCCCATATGGTCCCCCAAGCACCACCAGGAGTGAGTCCTCAGTGCAGAGCCAGGACTAACCCCTGAGCATCGCCGGTAAGAAACAAAAAAACAAAAAATAAGTAAATAAATAAGAAAATGTGATTGATACCTTACAATAGCATAAAGTTTTTTTTTTTTTGGTAGGAGTACTGCTATTTATTCAGCCACTGATTAGCTGATTGAATTGTGCATGAACTCCACCTTACTTTTTTTTTCCCACTTTTTATAGTTTCATTTATTGAATCACCATGAGAGCAGTTACAAAGCTTTTGGGTCTAAGTCTCAGTCATACAATGAAACACCTGTCCCTACACCAGTGCCCATTTCCCACCACCAAAACCCCCAGTATACCCCCATTCCACACCCTCCCCCTGCCTGTGGGGCAGATGATTTCCACATTACTCTCTCTCTACTTTGATCACATTCACTATTTCGACACCAGACCCACCATTATTTGAGATTTTACCCCAACACTCAGATCTGCTGAAATTTGTGTTCTATTGCTGGTTATGAATAACATATGATGTCGTGTGGCTGCAGTAGGGCCATGTGGTTTTGAAATTCCTAAATTTTAACACTTAAATCTGGAGGGATTTCTGCCAAAAGCCACTGGGTTTAGAGATCTGCTCCTGAGTCTCTGGGATCATGGCCGTTGAGCAGCTTGATGAGGAGCCAGAGAGGCCGTTCGTGAGCGATGACTTGGGGTCTCGTTGGGGTGGGGAGGACAGGCCCAGCTCCCCGCCCCCCCCATCCCGTGAGGCCCAACAAGTTTCGTCACTGCGGGCCCAAGCCTGACTGTCCAATGGCCTCTGGAGGATGACAGCCACCAAGTCGCCAAGAGGGAGCAGGCGGAGGGACAGCACCCATTCCCCCCTGGGGTGGCCCGGCGACAGTAACCTACTGCGGGGTCCGGACACATTTCTGCCAAAAGCCGCTGGGTTTTGAGATTTGTTTCTGAGTCTCTGGGATCAAGGCCGTTGAGCACCTTGATGAGGAGCCAGAGAGGCCGTTCGTGGGCGATGACTTGGGGTCTCGTTGGGGTGGGGAAGACAGTCCCGGCTCCACCTTCCCCCCAACCCCGTGAGACCCAACAAGTTTCGTCACTGCGGGCCCAAGCCTGACTGTCCAATGGCCTCTGGAGGATGACAGCCACCAAGTCGCCAAGAGGGAGCAGGCGGAGGGACAACACCCTTTCCTCCCTGGGGTGGCCCGGCGACAGTAACGTACTGTGGAGTCCGGATGCATTTCTGCCAAACGCACTGGGTTTTGAGATTTGTTTCTGAGTCTCTGGGATCATGGCCGTTAAGCAGCTTGATCAGGAGCCAGAGAGGCCATTCGTGGGCGATGACTTGGGGTCTCGTTGGGGTGGGGAGGACAGGCCCGGCTCCACCCTCATCCCGTGAGGCCCTGTGTGTCTTGTCACTGGGGGCCCAAATGTGACTATCCAGTGGCCTCAGATGGATGGCAGCCACTGGGCCGCCAGGGGGAACAGGCCAAGGCATGAAACCTATTCCCACCTGGGTTGGCCCAGCACCGGTAGCCTACTGCAGAGACCAGACACATTTCTACCTAAAGCCACTGGGTCTGAGATTTGTTTCTGAGTCTCTGGGATCATGTCCATTAAGCAGTTCAATCAGGAACCAAAGAGGCCTTGCCTCCAATTATATAGCTGAGCCGGAGGTGGTTTGTGGGTGTGTTTCCCACATACCTAACTTTTGGCCGTTTACTTTCTTGGTTAGTAACAACAAAGTCTCCAATGGGGACGTTACTGGGCCCGCTCGAGCAATTCGACGTTCTTGGTAAACTTTGCCCCAAGTTTTTGGGGTCTGGCCAAAGGCACAGCAGCAATTTTGGGGTATCTGGAAGTCTGAAGGAGCCATGAGGCTGCTGATGCACGCATAAAGTTTTTTTTGACAATCACATTTACTGAACACTAACTAACCAAATCTTTAAAGAACTTTGACCTGACCATTAAAAATTTTTAATATTTATATAAGTTACTATTTTAATCTTATTATTTTGTAAAAGTTCTTCCTCAAAGAGACTCATGAAACTGAAAGTTTTTTTTATTTTATATACTTTGGGGGGAGGCCACACATCTCAGTGCTCAGGCTTACTCCTGACTCTGTGCTCAGGGATCACTCCTAACAATGATCAGGGGATCATACATGGTGCTGGGGATTGAATTCAGGTCAACCACTTGCAAGGAAAGTACCTTACCTGTTATACTATCTCTCCTGTCCCTGAAAATGATAGTTTTATAATAAATTTCAGATCATAGAACCAAATTGCATAAAAAGTTTCAGAACTAATAGAAAAACTAGATTCAAGCAAAAGAAGAATATGATACTAAATAGAGAACGATAACTAATTTTAAATAACTTTGTTAAGTATTTTGTCTTATTGTCCACACGTAAAGAAAGCGTCTGTTATGCTACCAGCAATAAAAATATAACTACATAAAGAACAACAAAGAATAAAACAATTACATTTTCCCCCTCACGTATGCAGGATTTTTGTTGTTTTTCTTTGAGGGAGGACGACATCTAGCAGAGCTTCTGGCTCTGCTCCCAGCAGGCCGCACTCTTAGCAGAACTCAGGGAGAACAGGGGGAGCTAGGGACTGAACCCGGGCCAGGGCTGTGCGAGGCAAATGCTGTTGTATTAATAATCTGTTGTATTATTGTTCCAGTCCCAATATCTGCAGAATTCACAACTGGAACTCTGATGACATTGGCAAGGCTTGATAGCAAGTCATACTCAAGACTGATATGCACAGATTCCTATATGATAAGGCAGCTGAAGCTGCAGGTACTTAGGTCGAGCTGATGGAGTCCAAGGAGGAGTGGTCTGGGAACTCTGAATCCCGGACAAGGATGCGGGGCGAGTTCTTGGAAGACTCATTTTCAGGATATTCTGGAGACCTCAGAAAGAGAGGCGTTAGCCTGAATTTTCAGATCTAGCTAATGAAGCCTACTGGTGGGCTCGAGTCCAGACAAGCTGAAAACTCAATCTGAGGATCTTTATGAAAAAGCTGCAGCAAAGCTGACCTATGAGTTAATCACTACTACTGCAGCACTTTATAACAAGCAAAATTCTTAAAACCAAACTTATTTTACAATCATTGATTTTACTGTGATTATCTTTGATAGAAACAATAGTGGTTTGGGAAAGATAACCCTTTTTCATCAGAATGCTTCATGAATATTAAATTCTAGTACTGTCAACACATTTGAGGTTTTATGTTCCACACGTAAATCCAACTGGATACTGAATCCCTGTCATTTCCTAAAATATCTGGGTATAAATGTCCAAGAAATGTCTCCCCAGTCTTTTAATTTGGATTATTACAGCACTGTAGCACTAACCTCCCTGTTGTTCATCAATTTGCTTGAGCAGGCACCAGTAATGTCTTCATTATGAGACTTGTTACTGTGTTTGGCATATATATTACACCACAGGGAGATTGCTAGGCTCTGCCATTTAGGCAGGATACTCTCGGTAGCTTGCTGGGCTCTCCAAGAGGAACAGAGGAATTGAACCCGGGTCGGCCATGTGCAAGGCAAACGCCCTACCTGCTATGCTATCACTCCAGCGCCTATGAAGCTTAAAAGAGAGAGAGAGAGAGAGAGAGAGAGAGAGAGAGAGAGAACCATGAAGCTTGCAAGTCAGAGATGGAGAGAGCTTGATAAAAAAAAAACAAAACACCACAATGGCTCATGTGTCCAATCCTCTTGACCGCTATTCTACTCAACGTTCATTTAGATATCAGAGAGATTCTCACTCCAGTCCCAGAAAACGCTCACTCTGCCACTGCTGCCTCACTCCCTGTGAAAATGCTTCAACTTCAGGTATCTAGGAACCTTCAAATACCTTCACACACTCCTCAAAACTAAGATTGAACTTATGGTCTGCCATAATCATTAATCATTTTAATCTCTTTCATTTCCACAGAAATGCTTTTATAAACTGACTGCTTGTACACACACAAATAAAAACAAAAACCTCACATAGTACCTTGTTTGTAGACAAGCAATATATACAGATAATTAATAGTACTTGGTGGGAAAAGAGGAATGACTAAAATTACTAAAATCAGAATAAAGCAGAAACATTATTACTCTTATCAAAACATAATGATTCTCTAAGACAGAAGTACATGAAGACAGTAATAGAAACAATTTTATACCAATATACTATATAAAATAAATGAAATAAACTAGAAACACAACACATCTCAAGAAAGAATCAAGAGGAAACAAAAACCCTGGGCTGGACAGAATACTAACAACTAAGGAGACTGAAGCATTATTCAAAAACCTTCCAGCAACAACAAAAAGCCCAGGACCACATGGCCTCACTGGTAAATTCTAGCATTCATGGCTGAGCAATGCCAATCTTCTTCAAACTCTTCAAAAAAATGAAGGACAGAGTATTCACAACTGAGGTGAACATCTTGATGCCAAGAACAGATGAGGGCTGGAGGGGAAGGACAATAGGTAAGGCATTTCTCTTGCATGCAAATGAAGCAGGTTGGATCTCTGGCACCACATATGGTCTCCTGAGTAGACACAGGAGTGATCCCTGAGCAGATACAGGAGTATGTCCCCAAGAACTAGTGGGTGTGGCCCCCAACCCAAAAAACATACAGCAGGGTCTCAGTGATACCCCATTCCCGAGTTCTGGCTTGGAGTCCCCTAGTCCCCTTGGCTTAGTACTCCTAGGAGTGGCCCCAGACCCCCAGAACACTGCCTGGGAAGCTCCTCTCCCTAAGAGCCAATCCATGTAATCCCCCGCAGTCACTTGTTCAAGGGGAAGAACTATACACAACTGCTTAGACAGCTGCAGCATTCGGCCAGCATGAGTTTCTTCAAAGAGTGATCAGAGCATGGGGGGGACATGTTCAAAGAGAAGCCAGGTGGAGGCAGTTGGACAAATGGGGAACAACGCAAGCAACAAAATGGGTAATAAAAAGTTTGCCTTATAGTGCACTAGGGGAAAAAAAAAAAACAAGAAAAGAGGAAAAAAACCCACAGAGATCTAATAAAAGATCTGGCCGGGAATGTCATAAGAAAGGCAAGCAAAGGTATCAACAGACACATGAAAAGATGTTTAGCTTCACTGAGAGGCAGAGAAAATGCAAATCAGAGCCAGGAGACACCATTTTATATAATCACCAGATTTACAAAACAAAAAAGAATTTAAAATGTATAAACTGTGGTACGTGATTGCTGGAAGTAGTCTAATTATTTTTAAGCAAACAAAACAATAGCATTCCATGAAGTTGAACATATCTAACTTATCACCTTGAAATTCTACTGGACAAACAGCCTAGAGAAACTCTTAACATACATTCCCTAGCAAGTATGTATAAGAATGCACAGGATAATTCATTAAAAAGAGGAAAAACCTTAAATGTCTTTCAACAAAAAGATAGGAAATAGGCTTTATTTCCACAGTGAGAAATAAAAAGCAATAAAAATGTCACAACTCCCCTAACATACAAATCTCAGGAAACTGAGTGAAAGATAAGTCTCATAAAAGAATACTGTTTTTATAAACCATGAAAACAATATGAATATTTAATACATTAGATATAAGGAAAAGCTAATCAGCTGCAGGTTTAAAAAAGTCAGGACAGGGGTTATCTTTAGGAGAATGAGGAAGATGTCTGGGTCACAGGGTTTCACAGGAGCAGCAGCTTGCAAATGAAGGTGAGGTTCATAGTTGTCCATTTCACAACTCTGCTCATGACCTCCCTATGCACAATATGCATTAAATCAGTTATTAAAGAACAACCCATAATAGCATTCCATGATCAACAATGAAGCACTGCCCCGCTGTCCTCCCATTGTTCATCTATTTGCTTGAGCGTCTCCATTGTGAGACTCGTTGTTACTGTGTTTGGCATATCGAATACGTCACGGGGAGCTTGTCAGGCTTTGCCGTGCAGGCGGAATACTCTCGGTAGCTTGCCAGGCTCTCTGAGAGGGGCAGAGGAATCGAACCCAGGTCGGCCATGTGCAAGGCAAACGCCCTACCCGCTATACTATCACTCCGGCCCAATCAAGATTAAAATAATAGAAAAACGTAAATAACCGAACTATGAAACCTAATGAAGGACGGGGAAATTCATCAAATCAACCTCCCTGTCTTGGCTCTTCTCAGGGGCTGGGGAGCTGGGTGCTCAGGGCTTCCTCCTGGCCCTGCACCCAGAGGGCTATTCGGGTGCCAGCGATGGTGGCAAGCACCTTAGCCCTGTACCAAGCTTAGGCCCTCTGCTCTTCTCGGTTAACTTCCTTTTCCCTTTCAAGTCTGTGCTCCACCCCCCACTTCTCCGTACGACCTGCCCTGATCACCACATTTGATACCTCAGTGTCCCAGTTTCCAGGCACTGTCATTACTTTTCCCTTGTTCTTTTCTTTGTGTCTGTGTTCCTTCCCACCTTCAAACATGCTACATAATTCACCCGTTTACTATGCTCATTACTCATCCTCTATCTTCTCTTCTTCCCCTCCATTAGAATTTAAGTGACATGCAAGCTGGATATTTGAATTTCTACCTATTTATGTGGCACACGCTAGAAAATCTGGGCTCAGAAAATAAACATTCCAATTTAGAGTTAGAGATGCTCTCGAATAATAGAGCATTTCATATTTTCTTTCCTGAATTCTCTTTTACTAATAATTCAAGTCACCGGCAATGCCAAATCAGTTCAAATGTCCTAAATTAAAGTTTATTTACACTAATAAATATTATTTCCTTATTAATTCTAAATACATTTTATTAAATGGTGATTTTTTTCACCCTAAAAATAAAGTCAATATGTGATCTATTGAATTCATATCTATTCTCAGTTTTTGAATAAATCTTAAAAAATATTTTATCTACTTTAATTTTTGTTTTAGCATGCCAGGAATCAATGCACACAAGGCATGCACTTTGCTGCTGAGCCATATCCCCGGCTCTTAAATGACACCAGAATTAATAACAGAATCAAGTTACAATCAGTGTCAACTATGAACTAATCAAATACTAACCAGGGGTTAGTTTTAAGGTCAAAGAAAATGAAGAATAAAATGAAGCAGCTACATTACCATATGACTATAGAGGATCCTCCGCAGTTTGCATGTGTCAATGTACCCCCCAACATATACTGCAAACAATGATGCAACCTGAAATTCAAAAATAAAGATTATATAGAACCAGTAGCTGTAAGAGTAAAGGAAAGATGACTTTTATTTCTTTTAAATTGATTTCTACTTTTTTATTTTAACTCGAAGACACTGTGATTTGCAATACTGTTGATAATCAAATATCAGGCATCCCATGCTCCAATACGACACCCACTGCCACTCCGTCACTGTCTCAGGGACCCACCATACAGTGCTGCTCATGACAGCCAAGACGGGGGAGCAACCCACGCTCTCAAGGAAACATGAGAGGATGAAGAAAGCGGTCTCCAGGAGCAGAGATCCTATGCCTACTTTACCCCGTCTCCAGCAACCCAGGGGTCATGCCCAGAAGCCACCTCCTGCAGCGCCACCGTCCAGATCACATGGCTGCTTCTCCCCAAAGGGAGCATAACATGAGGCCCCCATAACCATGCCACTGGACTCCATGCAAGGCTGTTTCACACGGGGCGCCCTAGAGGGGGGTGGGTGAGAGCCCTCCCCACCCCAAGGGACCCAGCCCCAGCAGCCGAAAACCCCCAAAACCCAACTGCCACCACACTCAAGGCTGCTCCCCAGGAGCTCGAACCAAGCCTCACATATGAGTAAACATATTCCTGGACCTCACGGCCGCAACATATCATAAGACACTTCCTACCTATTGTCCATAAATAATTACCAAACCACATTGTTCAGATAGTAGGCAACATAAATAATTACCATACCAACATATCATAAGACACTTCCTACCTATTGTCCATAAATAATTACCAAACCACATTGTTCAGATAGTAGGCAACATAAATAATTACCAAACCATCAGGGTTCAGATAGTAGGCAACAAATCATAGAGGGAAATATATATATATATGTATATACATATTTTCAGATGTATATATCAAAGCTCAGATCACCCAAACTTAACAACATGTTAGTGGTATCCTACAGAATGTCTTAATGGTTCCTGCCAAAATAGAATAATCTTGGGGCTGGAGCAATAGCACAGTGGGTAGGGCGTTTGCCTTGCACGCAGCCAACCCAGGTTCGATTCCCAGCTCCCATATGGTCCCCTGAGCACCGCCAGGAGTGATTCCTGAGGGCAGAGCCAGGAGTCAGCCCTGAGCATCGACAGGTGTGACCCAAAAGGAAAAAAAAAGAACAATCTTCACACTGTTTACTATATGAACACTTTTTTGTAAGCATGTTCAGCAGTTCTTCATAACAGACAATACAAAATATATTATTTCGGTTGTGTTTTGGGACAGGGATTGGGGTTTGGGATGGAAACACCCCAAATTTGGTGGTGGGAAGGTGTAATGGCAGCGGGGTTGGTGGTTGAATATTGAATGTAATCAAACATTGTGAACTAATAAAATTAAACAATTTTAAAATAAAGTACTGTGGAGTTCATGCCCAATTCAATCAGCTTAATCAATGGCTGAATAAATGGCAATACTCCTACATTATTTAAAAAAAAAAGAAAAGAAAAAAAAAAGAAAGTGGTCTCTACACATGGAATTCTGCTCAGCAAAGATGAAAGTATGGAACTTGCCACTATGTGGATGGAACTAAAGGGTACCAAACTGATTTACATTTCAACTGAAAGCACATTCTTTGTGTTCCACTGAACTGCTGATTTACTGTGGGATCAATATAATAATATACCAAATACTGGTTTGTTTTTTACTAGAAAGTGCTCTCAACCTTTTGAGTGACAGACTCTGTGGACCATTCAAAACAATGTTCATTTTAATGTCAGATGACTCTCCTGTAACCATGTGTAATTAAAAAGAGCTTGCTCAACTGAAAAATATAAGAATTTAATAATATATGATAATTTAGACATAACCAGGGAAGGCACATAAAAGTTAATGATCAAGTAATAGTGTGTGAAAAGACATTAACCTGAGCTTTTCACAGGTTTTTCCATTTGTGCTCTTTTTCTTTAGCAGAAATATTTAAGTACCAGCTATGATGAAGTTGATCAAACTTCATAATAAAAGGAGTACTTTTGTTACAAAGAATTTCAGGGTGGTAGTTTTTCAGGAAGGATTTGATGGGAAGGAAGGCAGTTGTCAGATTCCATCTGGAGGTGCATGGAGAGCTATATGCAGTCCTGGGGATTCAGCCACATGAGTCAACGTGGCCACATGCACACACACACGCAGCTCCCGAAGTATCTATCCAGCTCCACTAAAGCACTGTGTATATTGTTTAGTTTTGGAAAAAAAAAAACTTTTGTAGATATTTAATTGCATAGGTCTAAGGTGATCGCACTTACTTAGACTGATCAAATGATGACAATATACCACAAGGTAAAATAAAATAATATGATGTCAAAACTTTTTTACCCTTCTTGATAAAGAAAGCAATTCAAATTAAATTTCATGCTTTTTTCTATTCCACAAATGTAGCATAAACAAAATGCAAAACAACTGAATTCTTAAACCTATAACTTAAGCTCCATTTGTCAATTTTTATCCAAACAATGTAAGACAGATTTTTCCATTAGTAAGAGAAACAAGGATTCCCTTTACTTATACCCATCCCTGGAGAATATTCTGCAGCTCAGGAGTGTCGGACAGGAAACCAGAACTATGGGATATCTCGGCAGAGCACAAGCCTCACAGAGAAGCACATCACCTCCTCCCTCAGCAAACCCTTCTCCCGCCACCAAAAGTATGGGACACAAACACACAGAGACACACTGACACACTCACACACAGACACACACGCGCACACACACGTACACTCACACACATACAGATGTTGCTCTACTAACAGAAATGGGGTCTTGACATACACACACACATTCGTAGGCTCCTCTAATGACAGTAATGGGATCCAGACACACACACACACACACACACACACACACACACACACACATTCCCAATTTCAACAAGCTAACTTAACCAGACTAAAAAAAGAGGAAGTGTAGGAATATTTCCCCTAACAAAAAACCCCAAGGATGAGATCAGTTTCAGCATTAGAATGCAAAGGGTTTGAAAAAATACACCCAGGAAGAAATAAAATAGAAAAATAAATAAATAAATAAAATATCTGCCTGTAAAAAAATATGCCAGGTAATATAGACTAAGACTGTTTAGGGTCTTTTAGATGCAGGGGCAAAAATAGAACACCAAACTGTCAAGACTTTATTGTCTGTGCCAAGGCTGCCTTCTGAGAGCTCGGATCTTCAGGGACCCACTGAACACTGGTGTGCTCACTAACTGTCCTTACTGTCTCTGTCAACAATGGCCACCTGCAGGCGCCTGGTGGAGGTGGGTGAGCCAGACTGCATTGAGTAAAGGCGCACCTGTGAGGCCACTGATGGCAGCCCAGGAGCCCTTCCTGTGCATCTATCTCTCTCCTTGTATGATTGTTTGTCTTGTTTTCTGTGACTTCTGTGGGATGGAGGTCAAATTAGAGTAAGACAAGGAGGTAAGACCATGTGCAGAGAAGGGACTGTGGAGAGCATGATCTGTTTGGCTGCTAATCCTCTGTGTGGGATTCAGCACGCTTCCAAGAAAGAAACACGTTTTACATGAAGAGAAGTTCAGTTTTAGCATATCATCTTTTAAGTACACAAATAATGAAGAAAGGTAGCCATAAATTTGGGTTCAATAAATAAATTTACCCCTTAATTCTCAGTAATAATAGATTTTTAACTATTTCCCTACCCTAATCTTTCTTCAAAAGTACTAAAAAAACTATTTTACGATTTAAATTCACAGAATATCTTAGTCTTGTAATTTTATACTAATGAGTTCACATAATCAAACAGACTTAGTTTTTTAAATGGGTTTTAAATATAAGCACCTTACCTGAGTAAGAAGCACAAACTGAGCAAATTGCCAGGGAAGCATGAAAAATACATTGGAAATGCAGAGTGCAATCAAGCTTCCCCTATAAATTTTTGTAGCCCTGAAAAATAAAATGAATATCAGTAAATTTAACTGTAAAAGATACTAGCATAACTCCAAACTGCTACAAATTAGACCCTCGAAATACGATCTGATTCTAACACAGACCAGACAGAAAATGAACCAATGGGCTAAAAATTATACCTCCTGACACTCGATTACTATTTTCTGTGAAAAGTAAATACCTGTTATTACTGCAAAAACAAAGCCTGCCAGAAAAACCCGGGAAAGGGGGTTGGGGTGCTAACTGGTCAGCATACGCACGGAATTATTTCCAAGGCCAACATAATCATGTCTACTGCTGCAGTCACTGGGTTCATTCGTGAGGATGTCTGTGAGAAAACAGCAGGAAGCCAATATTCTAAGGGCTAACATGCAAACACATACTGCAAGAACCCAGAACACAGGCTGAGCAGCAGGAGATTCTGTGGATGGTTCAAGTTAAACGATGGATCCAGGGCACAAATCCTGCAAGCACAAAGCACAGGTGGAGCCTACCACTGCCCAGAGCCGTGAGGACTAGAGGAACTCAGGTGGAGCTAAAGGGGGCCCCTTGGGACCCCTTGAGGCTTCACTTGGGTGCCGACTCACAATCCCGAGAATGTCTCGGAGAATGAGTGACTGCCATTCCCACTCCTTTAGGAAGTGTTTCTACTACTTGGAGTCGATGTTACACCCCTGCTAGCACCCTCAGCGCACGGACAGTGTGTGGAGACACACAGGGCAAAAGCACAAGGCACACAACCTTCCCAGGACACAGTGTGCCCAGGCACCAAGCACCGGGCGAATGCATCCACCCTGGCCCCATGGCTGCTCCACCCCAGGGCTTCCCATCACGCCCAGAATCAAGATACTTTCCAAGCCCAGGTAACTATTAACCAGCTACCTACAAGATGCATTCAGTTACTAGATTAAAAAAAAAGCGTTTTCAATGGCCCAAAGAAGAGTGAGATAGCATGCTTGCATCCACAGAAAAGAGGTTCCCTTCCAGAGATGCCTCCGCACACACATCTGTGTGCAGGGCTGAAATACAACAAGTGTTTTTGAGTTCACAAGTGTGTGGGTGCTGCATGATGCATTTGTTCAGTGGCCTGGCCGCCTCCCCAGCTAAGGAACAAAGAGATGGGGGACCACAGTCTGATGGTGAAATTGGCCTGTTTAATTCAGAGTTGCCAGAATACTTAAAGAACATCTGAAGGGGTCAGAGGTATAGGACTGCATGTGTGTGTGATTTACAGAGGTAAAACACTGCAGCAGAGGCAATTCTCTGGGGGAGATAAACTCAAGGAGATGCTCTGTCTCCCAGGGACATCTATATTGCTTTTCTCTTTCCTTCTATATCGAACAAATTAGTCAAAAAAATCAAACAATCAATCGAACAATTATGTCAACTTCTTACCAATACTTGCAGTTATTTAGATAAACACAGTAAGAGTTAAAGATTCCAATCTTAGTTCTCCGGGCTCTTAGTTCTCTGAGAGCAAGCAAGGTTTCTACTGTAAATCCCAGACTAAGTTCTCAGACCAGTTCAGCTTGTCCCCGCTATGGGAGATCGTGTTGCTTAAGTCATAACAACTTGCATCAAAACCGTACTTTGATGCTTTCTAGACTGTCTCGTTTTGATGCCAGTGTAGTTTTGCCACTCGCCCTGGGTCCATCTCAGTCTCACAGTGGGACCTTCCTTTTGGGGTGTTAGGTGCTACAGCAACTGAAGCCTGGGTCAAGTAATTATGATGGGTGCTCAGAAATAGATATATTTCAGAGTCAATCAACTCCCAAATATTATGAGCACAGCATTAACAGTCTTTCTGTGTTTAAGCAAAGAACAATATTGCTCTATAGTAAAATATGAAAAGGCTATAAGGGAAACAGAAAAGCAAGTAATTCACTACAAATACAAAATCCAGAATTATCAGAAAGTTTTGGTTTATAAGTAACCAAGACTGACTTGGTGAACTGTGACAATGACAATTAGGGATGCTTGCAAGAGCACTGTTAAGCTTCTCTGGGAAAGAGAAAAAGGGGTAATTCACTGATGAAGCCCAAAGCACTTAGGGTTAATATCCAACACTGTTTTATTTCTTATAGACTACAGCCAAATAGCTGTGAGGCCACTCTCTGAAATCAACCACTTCTCTACTGCTTTTGAGTACTGGTAGGATTTCATTTTACGCACAATAAGAAACACTGAAGATTCAGACAGAATTTAACATGAACCTGCTGGTTGAAAACAAACTATAGGATCTATAGTATAGCAGGGAAGATGCTTGGTATGCATGTGGGGAACCTGGTTCAATCCCTGGAACCCCACATGGTTCAATTCCTCAAGCACCACCAGGAGAAAGTCCTGAGTACCACTGGGTGTGGCCCCAAACCAAAAACCCAGACTATCCAGAGAGCAGAGCGGGACTGCAACGGGTAATGGAAGAGTCGATAGAGACACAGAAACGGAACACAAATACTGTCAACAACAATCAAGAAACAGCTAAGGCTGTGCTGGTGCTACTGAGTGATGTATACGAAGATTCAACACTGAGTAAAACTAATTTGTGAGACAGAACATCTTCATAGCTTTATTGGTGAACAACTGGAAGACTAGGACCAGCACTTAGAAGGGTCTGTTCAATGGAAAGTGATGCCCGTTGTAAGGAAAGATGGAATCCTGCAGCTGGGCTAGAAGTGTGTGTGTGTGTGGGGGGGGGGGGGGGGGGTGCTGTGCTAAGTTTGTCAGAGGGGGGAGGAGGCCGAGTACCAGATGCCCTCACTCCTCCACGCCAACAGAGAAAGGGAAGAGACAACAGCTGACAGTGACAGGCCTTTCCTCAGGGGCTGCTTCAGCCCATGAGAAGAGGGGCAGGGTGGGGAGAGTGGCGATGGAGTTAAGAGCAGCAGGAGAAAGTGGCAGAAGGCTCTGGGCACTCTGGAGCACCGACTACAAACCTGTCACCTTAACTACAACCACACTTAAGGAAACAAAAACAAGGAATAGCTGATTACAAGCCAAGAATAAAACAGACAAAACAAAACCCAATGGCTTCTCTGCCATAGGAGACAGAATGCGGGTTCCACACATAAAATAAAACCAAGGTGCCAGCCGCTTGGAGCAGAAAAGCAAATGGACTTGTGTTGAACCGCGCCACCAAGCCCGCCCGGAGGGGAAAGGGCGTTGACCGGCCCGCCCGCTCCTCTCTGGAAAGAAAGATGGCGGCCGCACGGGAGCCTTGTGGAAAGCAGGTTTGAGCCGAGCTCAGGGGAGCGGCGGGGACCTCATGGGAAGGGGGGCTTTGTGGGCCGTCCCCCACGCCCCAGCGAGGTCGCCAGCTGCCCCCCACGAGCGGCTCTCCGGCACGGCCACGACTCCAGGGCACAGAAACCAATCTCTTAACTAGCTAACTTTTAATAGAAATTCTTCCAGGGTCAATAAGTAAAATAGCAGAAATTCAAAACCGCGCGGCCGCAATAGCGGCCGCGCGACATCATTTTATTCTTAAACCAAGTTGTAGAAAGCAAATCATTTCACAACGCTGTTTCAGCATGTCTGATTGTGGGGGGTGGGTCGTAAACTCTAAACAATAATTGTGCATCTTCTATCGAAATAATCAATCTAGTCAAAGTAGATAGAGTATTAACTAGAACTCATCTGCCTCACAAGAATTGGGAGGGGTGGGAGGTGGGGGTCTATTGGGGTTCGGGGTTAAAAATGAGTATTGGTAAAGGGAAATGTGTTCGGTATCTACATGACTGAGACCTAAACCCGAAAGCTCTGTAACTTTTCCCACAGTGATTCAATAAATAAATAAATTAAAAAAAAAAATAAAACCAAGGTGGTCAGCAGCCCTGAGGCCGACATTCTCGGGGAAAACAGAGAGCGGCCTGCCACAGCCCCCAGGGGGGCAAGCTGTGACCCGGAAGAAGCTGCCTCTGCTTCAAAGGAAGTGAAGAGCAGTGCAGCTGATGAGGCTCAGGGCTCCTAAAGCAGGACCCAGGGGGTCCGGCCCCCGTAGCACCCTCCCAGTCACTGCCAGGAACAACCCCCAGACTTGCGCAGGTGGAGCCCTGACACCACTGGACGTGCCCTCCAGCCCCCACCAATAAAAAAACCATAACCAAAGTGAGAAAGACAAGTGTTGAGGACGATGACGCTGAAGTGACAAAAGCCTCAGAGCTCCAGTCTCTCACATGGGCAGGCTATGGACTTGGAGAGAAACCGAGTAGGAGAAAGAAAGCAAGGGAAGGAAGGGAACCCCTGGAACCCTCCTGCAGATCAAAGGCAGAAACCAGAGCATGTAAAGAGCCCTAAAGAACAAGACAGAAGAATCTGAGAGAGCTGGGGAAGGCAAGACACAGCAGTGGGGCGTCCCACAGAGGGAGGCAGACGGACCAAGTGTCGGGAGAGCACAGCTGAGTCCCAGATGCTGCCAGCCACAATCCGAGGCAGAGGCCAGGAAGGTGCCTTTCTCCTAGGGAGATTATCTTCTGTCACCCAGGTACGGATCCAGAGCAGTCACAGGAGCCCTGAAAGATGGGTGAGGCGTCCCGAAGGAAAAAAAAATACAGGTTCCAAAAAGAGCCGAGATCATCGGGAAGTCCCAGATGGGGTAGGTACTGCATCCCGCCTCCCCCAGATGGAACCCCGGTGACCAGAAGCCTCTACAAGCACTGCTCGAGTATGCGGGAACTAGGACTTTTCCTCAAAACCGACATCTCTCTATATACAAAGTGATCCATGGGAAGTAAACCACCCAACGTTTCTCTCTGAAAATCATAGTTAAGTTTGGAGCACGGCCCCAGAAACACAAGGACTTAATGCATAACCCAGCAGCTTGGAGCAGAAAAGTGAACGGGCTATGCGTTAATCCAGGCCATCATGTCTGTCCGGAGGGGAAAGGTTGTTGCCCCATTCGCCCTCTCTTCTCTGGAAAGAAGGATGGCGGCCGCATGGGTGCCTTGTGGACAGCAGGTATGAGCCGGGGGTGTGGGGGCGACTAAAACCTCATGGGAAGGGGGGCGTTCCAGTCCGTCCTTCACGCCCTATCGAGGCCACCAGTTGCCCCCCACTAGCGGCTCTCCAGCACGGCCACAGCCCCAGAAGCACAAGGACTTAATGCAGAACCCAGCAGCTTGGAGCAGAAAAGTGAAAGGACTATGCGTTAATCCAGGCCATCATGTCTGCCCGGAGGGGAAAGGGTGTTGGTCCCTTCCGCCCTCCTCCCTCTGGAAAGAAAGATGGCGGCCACTTGGGTGCCTTGTGGACAGCAGGTATGAGCCGGGGGTGTGGGGGCGACTAAAACCTCATGGGAAGGGGGGCGTTCTGGTCTGTCCTTCACGCCCTACTGAGGTCACCAGTTGCCCCCCGCGAGCAGCTCTCCAGCACGGCCACAGCCCCAGAAGCACAAGGACTTAATGCAGAACCCAGCAGCTTGGAGCAGAAAAGTGAAAGGACTATGCGTTAATCCAGGCCATCAAGTCTGCCAGAGGGGAAAGGGTGTTGCCCCATTCGCCCTCTCTTCTCTGGAAAGAAGGATGGTGGCCGCATGGGAGCCTTGTGGACAGCAGGTATGAGCCGGGGGTGTGGGGGCCACTAAAACCTCATGGGAAGGGGGGTGTTCCAGTCCGTCCTTCACGCCCTACCGAGGTCACCAGTTGCCCCCCACGAGCGGTTCTCCAGCACGGCCACAGCCCCAGAAGCACAAGGACTTAATGCAGAACCCAGCAGCTTGGAGCAGAAAAGTGAAAGGACTATGCGTTAATCCAGGCCATCATGTCTGCCTGGAGGGGAAAGGGTGTTGGTTCCTTCCGCCCTCCTCCCTCTGGAAAGAAAGATGGCGGCCACATGGGAGCCTTGTGGACAGCAGGTATGAGCCGGGGGTGTGGGGGCCACTAAAACCTCATGGGAAGGGGGGTGTTCCAGTCCGTCCTTCACGCCCTACCGAGGTCACTAGTTGCCCCCCACGAGCGGCTCTCCAGCACGGCCACAGCCCCAGAAGCACAAGGACTTAATGCAGAACCCAGCAGCTTGGAGCAGAAAAGTGAAAGGACTATGCGTTAATCCAGACCATCATGTCTGCCCGGAGGGGAAAGGGTGTTGGTCCCTTCCGCCCTCATCCCTCTGGAAAGAAAGATGGCGGCCACTTGGGTGCCTTGTGGACAGCAGGTATGAGCCGGGGGTGTGGGGGCCACTAAAACCTCATGGGAAGGGGGGCGTTCCGGTCCGTCCTTCACGCCCTACCGAGGTCACCAGTTGCCCCCCGCAAGCGGCTCTCCAGCACGGCCACGGCCCCAGAAGCACAAGGACTTAATGCAGAACCCGGCAGCTTGGAGCAGAAAAGTGAACGGACTATGCGTTAATCCAGGCCATCATGTCTGTCCGGAGGGGAAAGGGTGTTGCCCCAGTCACCTTCTCCTCTCTGGAAAGAAAGATGGCGGCCGCATGGGAGCCTTGTGGACAGCAGGTATGAGCCGGGGGAGTTGGGGCGACTAAAACCTCATGGGAAGGGGGGCGTTTCGGTCCGCCCTTCACGCCCTACCGAGGCCACCAGTTGCCCCCCACTAGCGGCTCTCCAGCACGGCCACGACTCCAGAGCACAGAAACCAATTTCTTACCTATCTGACTTTCAGTAGAAATACTTCCAGGGTCAATAAGTAAAATAGCAGAAATCCAAAACCAACATTTAATTCTTGAACCCAGCTGTAGAAAGCAAATCACTTCACAATGCTTTTTCAGCATGTCTGATTTGGGGGGGGGGGGTAAACTCTAAATAATAGTGGTGAATCTTTTATTGAAACAATGAATCTAATCAAAGCAGATAGAGTGTTAACTAGAATTCATCTGCCTCACAGGGACTGGGAGGGGTGGGGGGTGGGGTTTTATTGGGGTTCTTCATGGTAAAAAATAAGTATTGGTAAAGGGAAATGTGTTTGATATTTGCATGACTGAGACCTAAACCTGAAAGCTTTGTAACCTTTCCCACGGTGATTCAATAAATAAAAAAAAATTAAAAAAAAAAAAAAGATGGGTGAGGCAGGAGGGGGAAGGGAGGGAATGGGAGCACTCAATTGACTGCAGCGTGGAGAATGTCACATTCTAAAGATGCTACAGCAGCTTTGACTCCTGTAATAAAGACTGATGTCATGGAAGTCATTGGTTATGAGAAAGTTAAAAGCCAGTACAAAATGAAAAATTCTCAAACGGCTATGAGTTGAGTCCTCCCTACCCCCCTCCCTTCCACTCTCCCTTACAAACTCGAGTCAAGGAAGATGGAAGCCAGAAAAGGCAAGAGAGCTGGCCTCCCAGGAGTCTGAGAGTTGCAGACAGGATTTCCGGTCAACAGAGCTACAAGAAGTAAGGCAGTCAGCTCCAACTGGGAAACTCTAGCCCGCGCTTCAAATTCCTCAGGGAAGTCATATCAGGGGCAGAGCTCACAGCATGTAAGGCCAGTGAGTGTGCTATGCGACAAAGAGCTGAACTCAGGTTTGCAGCATTGGAACCAGACTTGCGGGGGGGGGGGGGGGGGGGTAGGAAGGGCGCGGAGATTTCGCTATCTGAATGATACTCAAGAAAAATTGAGATCCAGACTGTCGAGGTGGAAACACGGCACATGCAGCGGAGAAGCAGGCACTCGAGTGCAGACAGTTCCACACATCTTCATAGTGAGAGATGCTGATCAAGAGGCCCCAGGGCCAAAGGTTATAAAAGTAGATTTTGTCTTACTTGAAGATGATAAAGCAGCTTTAACTCCCATAACAAGATAAGCTTCGGGAAAAGCTGAAAACCAGTGCGAAAGCTGTCTCACAGGCCTACGTGGAAGGGAGCCACCTGGGGTTCCCAGCCCAGCTGGGCTCAGCACCTCCAGTGTCCTCCGGAGGGAGGGTGAAAACCGCCAACCAGGTTCTCTCAACTCCTGATCAGTGCAGAAAGGAGCTCTTAGTCTAAGTCATCTTCCGTTTCCCTGGACTTCGTTCTATCTTCTCATCGGTTCCAACGTGTTTTATTCTGGACCAAAGCAGGCCATGCAGAAACTCAGCACCCAGCACCCCAGCACAGACGGGCGGGAACTCAAGCGCCACTCTCTCTCCCCAAGGCTGGAACTGGCCATGGCAACAGAGGAGGGCCCGGTCCATGCAGATGCTCTCAGGGAGCCCCAGCCTATCCCAGATCTACCACAACTAACTTCTTCCTAAGCCCACTCCCAGGTCTCAGGGATGCTAAACAAGCGCGGGGAGAACTGCGTGTGTTCCACCAGACTGCAACTACCGATGAACTGCTGGCTCGGAGGCACGGCAGCTCACAGACCACCTCCCAGCCCAGCTTGCCATTCCTCTCTGTCGGGTTCCAGCCCCGCCGCAGAGGAGACTGGGAGGGAGACAGGGCAGGCACAGAAGCGCCACTGCTCCCCAGCTCCCCTCGGAGCATAGGATCAGGAAAAGATAAAGGCACAGGAAGGAGGTGCTGCTGGTATTGAGCACTCTGAAGTGATTCACTGAACACACCGTGCAGTTGTGGCCTCTATTACTTTCCTCACGCTGACTCTTTTACTATGGAAGGAACAGCTATTTTACGTACAGTGACAACAAGGGTAGGTCCAAGTTACCTGAGAATATGCGTCACAAGCAACATCTGGAGTACGAGAAAGGGATAGGAGAAGCTTTCTCGGAGCGGCGGCGTCCACATCACACGGGTGCACTGAGAAGGAGGCAAAGCAGATAGTGCAGGTTAGAGCTGTGAATGCCCCCTCTGGGAAGCCGTGAGTTGCCACACTCAGAGCCACCACAGAGCCCTTCCGAAGCCTCCCTGGGAGCGGGGACGCAACACTCACAGCGCCAGACCCCAGGAAGTACACACAGGGAGTGCCTCAAGATCTACCCCTAGGAAAGTGGGGTAACAGCAGGAAGGAAATGTGTTGCCCAGCCTCACATGTTTCACTCAGATTGGGGCTCAAATTTCACTCTTTCTGGCTTGTCTCATGTGAGTTTTTCAGCAAAAGACACCAAAACCAATGCTTAAAGACACCGCTGCCATCGACATGAGCATGTTTATTCACATGGTGCTATGAAAAGCATACCATTTTCATACTGGCTTCTCTGTTCAAGCTATCCTAGACTGAAACAGAGTAGTGGCAGGTGAGAGAAAACCTTAAAAAGCCAAGTACTAGCTTCTTAAAAAGTTCGCTTTAGATATCATTAATGAAATTGTCCCAGCTTTAGTTTTCAATCACTTCTTCTGCATATATGGTCAATATATTAAAGAGCCCAGCTTAAGGGAACTGAAGTGGATTAAACGTAAATGCTTACAATTACTATTCAGTTCGTTGCACCAATCAGGTAAGGCTGCTTTAAAACTACCTAGCAGGGGCTGGAGTGATAGCACAGCGGGTAGGGCATTTGCCTTGCACGCACCCGACCTGGGTTCGATTCCCAGCATCCCGTATGGTCCCCTGAGCACCACCAGGAGTAATTCCTGAGTACATGAGCCCGGAGTAACCCCTGTGCATCGCCAGATGTGACCCCCAGAAAAGCAAAAAAAAAAAAAACCTACTTAGCATTATAAAGACCTTAGTCTTTATAATGTAATAAAATAAAGTAAACCTTTATTTTAGCTCTATGTAAGACTACTGGAGAGTTCTATTACTAAGAAAGTCTAAGCCAATTTTCCTCTTTCCATCAAAGCTTAGAATTCTCTGTGAAATTTACATAGATATCTATTTATAAAAGAGAATTCTAAGGAGATTGAAAATGGTCTTTTATTGTTACTATAATACATTTCTAAAAATCTCTTAGTTTATTAGATTAGATTTCAGCAAGATTTATGAAGCTATCAATCTCTATGCAAAAACCAATAAGAAAATATACTGTATAATGCACAATTTAAGAATTTTCTTCATACAGATTTCATACAAATACATTTATTTCATTATTCAAATTCAACTATGTTGTCATCTCTTAGAAATTCATTTCTCATAATAGCTTAAGTCAGTCAGTTCTCTAGAATTATATCCTCTGTAAAGTTAGAATAACAAAGCCCAATTACTGAATCCTAACAAAGAACTAAGTCTTCCCCTTGAAAATATTAGGAGTGAGTAAATTTAATACATTATTTATGTCTCCACAGTGTTTTTTTTTTGGGGGGGGGAGGCGTTGTTTGTTTTTGACTTCTTGGGTCACACCTGGCAATGCTCTGGGGTTACTCCTGGCTCTGCACTCAGGAATTGCTACTGGTGGTCCTCAGGGGACCATATGGAATGCCAGCGATCAATTCTGGGTCATGGCCACATGCAAGGCAAGTGCCCGCCCACTGTACTATCTCCAGCCCCTCTCCATCGTGTTTTGCATGATCTGGTGCAAACACACTCTTACAGAAAACTCTCGAAATTTTGAAACGACTAGTAAACATATTTGCTTTATTCACATCTTCAGTCTTAAGAAATAACTTTTCCTTTATGGCTTTAATTTGACAATAAGAATCTATAGTCGTTCATAGAGTTGGTAATATAAATACCAGTATCTATTTTTCTGTTTGTTTTGGGTCACACCCACCTATGCTCAGGGTTTACTCCTGGCTCTGTGCTCAGGACTCACTGCTGGCTGACCCCAGGCAACCATATGTGGTACTGGGGATCTAAATCAGGTCAGCAGAATGCAAGGTAAGCATCCTATCCACTGTACTACTATTGCTCTGGTCATTAAAAAAAAAAATTCTTTATTGACTGAAGAACTGTGAATCACAATACTGTTACTGAGGATGTTTCATGTATACATAATTCCAACACTGCACCCATCACAGAGCACCCACATCCACATCCCTTCCCAAAGCCCCTGCCTTTCAACTCTGCTGTCTCACCCCCAAACTCAGCCTTTTGGATCAGTTCTCCCGTTGTGCTGCCTTTGTCCATCTGATGCTTCCCTTGTTGTATCTTTAAGGCCCACACATGAGAGTGAACATTCTGTCTCTATCCCTTCTATCTATCCCTTTATTTCCACTGATTTCACTCTGCATGATATCCTTCAGTTTTATCCATGCCATGGAAACTTGCATGAGTTTGTGTCCTTTCTTAGAGCTGCATAATATTCCACATGTACAACACAATTTCTTGATCTACCGATCCATAGTTGGGCATTTGGGTTTTGGGGAAACTATTTTGAAAGTGTATTTTTGATTTCTTTTTCTTCTAGTTCATTATTATTACACAGAAATGCCACAGACTCTTGTGTACTAATTTTCTAACCTTCTACCTAACTGTCTTGGTTTACTGTTTCTAAGAGTTTTTTGGGAGTTTTTGAGGGTTTGGGGGAGTGTGTGTGTGGGGGGTCTTTAGGGTTTTCAGTGTTTTCGCACTGTCTGTAAATAGTGAAAGTTTGGTTTCTTCTTCTACTATTTAGATTTCTCTGATATCTTTTTTCTTAGTTGATTGCTGTGGCAAGGATTTCAATATTCTGTTGAATGAGAGTGTGATGATGGACATCTATACCTGTGCCTCATCTCAGGGTTTCAGTTAAAATACCAGTTCCTTTTAGTGGCATTCTTCTCTGTGTGGCTAGGGTCACACCTGGTGGTGCTCAGAATATACTCTTCGCTCTGAGTTCAGCAATCACTGCTAGTGGTGCTCCAGGGATGCCAGGACTGAACAAGAGTTGGCCTGCATTATTTCCCTGGCCTAAGGGCTTTATCTTGTAATTTAAAAATTAAAGCAGGAAGGCTGAAGCAATAGTACAGTAGGGGCCCTTGAACCCAGCTGGGTGGGTTCAATTCTGGATACTACATGTGGATTCCCTAAGTGGTTCCCTAAGTGTTAAGTAACATTGGTTTGTCCTTGCTCCTCCAGCAGGGAGCTTAGGTTTACTGAGTTACACCCATCACAGTGCTCACCAGGCACACCCAAATCCATTGGGCATTCCTAATCCTCTGTGTTTATCTTTAACCTATTCTTTGTGCTCTTCTTCTCCTATTTGTTAATCACTTATATCCCCAAATCAGACCCAGTAATAATGAAGTCAAATTCTTCTGAGGGCTCTGGATTTTGTATATCTAAGTAAAATACTACTTTTTTCTTTCCATTATGTCCTTTCCATAGTTTACTTTAGAGCAAAGTTCTTTTTGTACAAAGGAAGACAGTTAATGCTATGCTTTTATAACTTGGGAGTCAATTGATTCCAAATACTATTTACTTCTGGGCATCATCATATTTACTTGACTTAAGTCTCAGTTGTCCTTTCTAACATCTCCAAAAGGAGGGTCCCAGCGAGGGACCTGAATGGGCCCAGGGCATACAACAAGCTACTCTGGCATCAAACAGGGAAAGGCTAAGTGCCATAAGAAGTATAAAAAGTTAAGAGCATAGTTTTGGAATTAATTCTGTCATGACCCAAAAGAAGTAACTGAATAAGGACCCTGATGGGGTTAGGAAAGACTAACCTTACCTGAAGACTGTAGTCTGGGATATACAGCAAGATGTCCCCAGGAAGAGTCACCCTTTAAGCTTAATATATTTACATATTTATAAAAATGACTAAAAATACTAGTAAGAAGTAAATTTAATGTGATTGTTTAAATGGATTACTAGCTAAGGAAGGAGAAGGCAATATACCCTAGAAGGAACCCTGCCCTTGAGCAGATCTCCTAGAAATCTAGAGTGCTGAACCGCCAGATGAGATTTTGTCCTTGAGTTAATCTCGTAGAAGAACATCCCTGAAGGAGGGGCTTTACATCAGTTTGCTGATGTGACAATGTTCAACCCCACCTATGTTACTCCCACCTTACACAATTTCTATTTAACTAAAACTCTAAGACTTGAAAAAAAAAAAAAGTCACTGATCACCAGCCAGCCTGTGGCCCCATTCCTTCTTTTGCCCTGCTATTGGCTATTGCTGTCAACCAGCCTTGGGAGGTGAGGTGGTTCCAGGGCACCAGACACACCCACACCTGAATTCACACCTGAGCACAGCCGGGTCAGGCCAAAAATAAAATCACAAATCAATCACAAATCATCCTGTTATTCGTCGATTGCCTCGAGCAGGCCCCAGTAACGTCTCCTTCATCCTAGCCCTGAGATTATATCCAAGGCTCTTTAGGAGAATGAGACCCATCATTTTTACTGGTATTTGGCATATTGGGTACGCCACGGGGAGTTTGCCAGACTCTGCCGTGTGGGCAGGCTATATTCCGTAGCCTGCCAGTTTGTCCAAAGCAGGAATGAGATAATAAGATGTCGCGCGGCCACAAATGCGGCCACGCGGTTCCGGGAGCTGGTTTTTATAGTCTCTGAGTCTTGGCCGTTGATGGGATTACACAGCGCCAGGGGGCCAGTTGGTGGGTGTGACCCCGCCTACTGGAATTTGGAGGATCTGGGTGGAGGATGCTCGGCCCAAATCCGAGTAGGCTTGGAAATCTCGGCCCCAGAACCCGCATGACTTTGTCCCTCTGCCAGTACCTTCATGTGTGGGCAGTCTCCTGCCCCCGCGCCTGACTGTCCTCACTCACCGGGACCCCTTGGAGGGGAGCAGGTTGAGCTTTCCTCCCCGCCCCGACCAGGGCTCCGGCAGCCAAAGACCTCCAGGACCAGCCACCACCATGCTGAGACCACTCTCCGCACACATGAAGGTACTGGCAGAGGGACAAAGTCACGCGGGTTCCGGGGCCGAGATCTCCAAGCCTACTCGGATTTGGGCCGAGCATCCTCCACCCAGATC